GGACATTACCAGCATGTGCCCAACCTGCAGAGCGGAATGCAATCCAGAAATGTATTTTCCAGTTTATTTAGGAGTGCTTCTGCTTCTCAGGAGTCAGATGGATCCTGGGGAATAGGCAATGTAGAGGCTTGTTTCTTTATGTATATAGTTCTTCCTGTACATAGTTTCATTTTTGCTGAGTTTAGTTAGAAATAAAGTTTTGATTGATTTAAATCTAGTCTGTCTGCTCTTCTGTGTTGGACTGTGCTGATAGACAGAGATGTGGAAATAAGGCTCTTGGTTTGAGCAGTCAGAAGCTCGTTCTTTTCATCACACTGTAGTCACTGATTTGGGGGAAATGTGTTAAAGCCATGGGCTTTGTAGTTCTTGTGGCCAATAAATAATAATTTAATAATAATTGACTAATAATTGTGGCCAATCAAGAGTGTGTTGTACAGAGAAAAGAACCAGGTGCTGCTTGGGATGCAAGGCCTTGTACTTCTCAGGCCACAATCTGGTGGATGTTTAGGTGCAAATGTCATGATTTCAATGCTCAGAGGATGGAGAGAGGAGCAGGTTGTGCATACACCCAGAAGATGGAGAGAGGAGCAGGTTGTGCACATACCCAGAAGATGGAAAGCAATTTTCTTGGAGAATAACTGGTATGTTAACAAACTGCTGCATTTCGTTTTGCAAGGTTTCATTAGAGTTAGAATCTGGAGGCTTTTGAAGGAATGTGTGTTTGAATGGATGAAGTTGGTTCCTGGCCTGGAGCTGTTAGCAGTACACTGTGTTGTAGTTCCCTTCCTTTAATTACAGCAGTTTAATCCTAAGTTACCTTGAAGAGAAATGCAATTGTCCAGAGATATAATAATTGGACATAAGAGAGGAAAGAAAATGACTTCTGTTATATAAAAGTAAAAAAGAGGCAAAGGCAGATCTCAGGTCAACAATGCAACAGTAAATTTGTTGTGCCATGAAATAGAAAACAGAAAACTAAACTTTCCTTACTTACAACATTGTTCTGAAGCCCACTTTTTTATGTCTTTTTCAGTTTTAGCATTTTTTTCCTTTGGATTTCTTTAATTTTTTTCACTTTTATACAGTAGCATATCAAAGTCGTTGGCAGGATTCTCATCACAGATCAGTTATTTTGTAATGATTAGGGAATGACAGATCAAGTGATTTTAAATGGTGTTGCAGATAAGGAGGAGGATTGAAACGCTTCACAGTTTTAGATTTTACGTGGGGATGTGATACCCATTTCTCAAGGAAGCTACCAAGTTAGATGGAAATCATAGATGTATTGCATTAGGGGACCTCCAAAAGGCCTTCCTCTTATTTTCCCAGGGGTGGAAATTAGAGTGCCCTCCATGTAGGTCCTAGAGTTGTCCTTCTGGCTGATAGATTTACCTTTCTGAAATTATTGGGAAACCTGCCCTGGCTCCACAACCTTTCAAAGAAGATAAGAAGCAGCCTCATGATGATTACAGCCAGCTCTCCCAGGACTCTCTGATGGGTCCTGTTTACTTCTATGGACTTGTATGAGCTAGAGAACTGTGCCCAAGTAGGGGAAATGAAGTTGTGGCTGTGGTAAGATGGGAAATAGGAAACGTGGACTAAACATGGAGGGTACATTTTCTGATCTCTGAAATAAACATAGGTATGCCTAAAATGTAATTTTAAACTTACTTAGGTAAAAATAAAAGATAAAACCCCCATGTAGTAGCTACCCTACTGATCAGATGTTTTAGCCTGATATTCTCCAGATAGTAGGGTACTTCTGGTGCAGGCATGTGAAGAGAAGCAGTGAGGTATAAATGTGCAGACAGAAGGGTTTGCTGAATGGAGCGTGGTTATTTGACATACTCCAGCTGTGGTACTCTCTCCCTCTAGCAATTTTGTTTCCTTTCCCTGCTGTATATTTGTAGGAAGGTTTTTGATCTGGTATGTTCTGGACTGTGAACCATTTCCGGATTATCTGTGCCTATTTGAATTGATAGAGGTAAGAGCTGCTTATGTGGTGTTTGGGTTTTTTTTCCTTTTTTTGACCAGCTTATCTCAATTTTGGTTGCATTCAGTCTGTATAAAAAAATACACATTAAAACACAATCATAAGCTGAAGAAAATAATGTAGGTGATTTTAATAGCTTGTATGCAAAGAATCCTACTATTTTGCAAAGAAAATACAAAAATGGTGGTCTGNCTGGAGGCGGCCCTGGGGATGTGTGGAGGCCTGGGGCAGCTGTGCTGTGCAGCCAGGCTGGGAGAGCCGGGGCTGTGCAGCCGGGAGAGGAGCAGGGGCCGGGGAGGCCTGACTGTGGCCTTCCAGTGCCCAGAGGGGGCAGAGAGCCATGGGGGAAGTGTTTTAGACGTGGAAGGGGAAGGTTGAGAGCAGATGTTTGCAAGAGCCAGGAGGGTGGTGAGTCAGTGGAACAGGCTGTGCAGAGAAGCTGTGGATGCCCTGTCCCTGGAAGGTTCCAGGCCAGGCAGGACGGGGCCCTGAGCACCCTGATGGAGCAGGTGGCAGCAGAACCAGGCCATGGCTGCGGTGCCCCCATGGCCTTCTGCAAGTTCATGGGTGAGCAAAGCGCAGCCCCGTTAGCTGGGCATGGAATGTTGGCACCGGTTGCCAGGGGCACTCCTGCTCCAAAGGTTCTGTTCACACTGAGTCTGTTGAGCCAGTTGACGGATTCTCTGCTGTGCAGCAGACACAGAGCATCCGTCTTCTCCATCCCGGGTGGGAAGAGAGAGCCGTCTGCTGACATTTGTGAGCCAAACTCTGGAGTGGCTGTACAGGTGAGTGCAGACAACGCTTGACAATTCTGATTGTCATGCTGAGGGGCTGGTCTGGGCTGCAGCGTGGGCTGCAGGTGGGCTCAAGTGCCAGAGTCACGGACTTCCCCTCTAGCTTTGAACAAGACCTGAAGACTTGGGAATGGGAGTCTTGGGGCATGGGGGTATTCAAGAAAATTTGCATTCCAAATAGATAATCTCCCCTGTACTTTTCTGATAGGTTTGGAACAACAATTTTGTGTCACTCCAAAAAATCTGCAGTGGGCTGCCCAAAGGAGCAAAAGGGATTGATCAAATCCCTGACATTCCTTTTCTGGTGTTTGTCCCACCTACTTTGCCGGTGCTATTAGATCAGAAAACACCATGAGCTCAGTAAGTACGTTGCTACTCAGTGCTGTTCTGAATCTTGAAACATTTTATGGGGTACTTCTAGGAAGTATTTCAAGAGTTTGTAGCAAATGAACAGGAATGGAAACCTTTGAAAATTTCAAGTAATTTTATGTTCTGGGATATTGAAGGTTTTGGATCTCTGTGGGTATTAGCAGTAATACAGAAATGCTTACATTGTGGGTAGTAGCCTGCTAGAATTGGGAACTGGTCTCCTAATTTTCAAGCCATTGGGACAGGCTCTTTTTTGGTGAGGCAGCTTGCTGGAGATCAGGGGTGATGTCTTTTTTCTGAGGAGATGCACTTAGGTGGGAATGGCCCATAGCACCCTTGAATGCATATTGCAGCCTTTGCAGGAGTGTTTTTGTATCCTTGTGTGCTGTCATTGGTGTGGCAAAAAGCAAGTGGCATGTTAATATGAGTGCCACAGAAAATGCTAAGGCTTTGTTCTCTCTCAGCGTCAGCGAAAGCGCCCGGGAGAGGGGTGTGATTCCTGTCCACCTCGGAAACAGAGCAGGCTGCTGCCCTCCAAAGCAGATGGAACTTGGCAGACAGAGCCAACAGACTGTGAGGAAAGTTGTTCACCTGCTCTAGAGCCTGGTAAGAACAGAACCTGCTTCTGGAGGGTGGAGCTCATTTGAACGTGCGCTTTTGCCAGTTCCTAGGCCCTTTCCTGGGGAGGAAGGGAACCTTCGGGGTGGAGGAAGCACCTGGTATGGCATCCCTAAACAACAAGCCCACTGGCCGCTGTTTTGGTTTGCTACTGACCTCTATACATTGGCCTCTAGTGGGAGATGAGCTGTGTAGCAAAGGCCCCAGGTGCTGCTCAAACACCTGGATGTGTGTGTGCTCTGACGAGCTAGCAGTGACTGCAGCAGCCACAGTGTCGGTGGCAGGCTGAGTTAGGGATCTGCCAAGCTGGAGAAAGATGAAGAAAAGTTAGTCATTAGCTGTGGCCCATTCTTCAGGGGAGCATGGACAGCATGGTACTGTAAAATTATCATCCCCTCTAGTTTTGGTTTTTTTTCCTCCTGTGTGCTAAACATTCCCCTGTGTGAGAGGAATGATCTGTTGGGGTAAACCTGCCGTAAGCTGTTGTCATCCAAGAGAACTTGTGAGCAGCTCAGCTACTCTTCCTCTTGCTTTGCCCCTTCAGAGGACAGGGCTGGCAATGCTCCCTGTGGATTATTGAGGGCAAAGCTTGAGTGAAATGTTGAACACATTCCTGAAAAAAAGAGACCTTAGGCACAGTGAATCCAAGCACAGTCTGTTCCACAGTGGCAGCCCATTTCATTCCTCTGCAATCTCTGACCTCAGTTCCAACCTTCTCTTTTTCAACAGGTGAAGAAGTCTTAGATCTCACAGGCCATTCTCCGGAGCCTGAAGTCATCACCATCAATGATGAAGAATCTCCTGTGGTAAGTAGTGACTGGCACACTCCTCTCCATGTTGCATCCACATGAATTTTCTTGCCCTCTGGAATCTTACTAAGTCCCCGGCCTCCAAGGTTGAAAGATGGCTCTGATTTACCCCATTAGACACAGTTCCTAGTCAACCCCAAACACACTCGCAAACACATCTGCATGCCTGAGAATCAGTTGCAGAGAGTGGATGAACAAGCTAAAATAGGTTGTTGCTTCAGTGATTCAAAAGAGAGCACATGAAGTCTTTGATTTGAAGAAGTGTTTTAGCTGCAGCATCAGTTTAAGGTCCCCCTGTCACTGAGGTGTAAAAAGCAAGTGCAGCTGACAGGAGCACACTCTAATTCTGTTTCTTATTCCTCTAAGTCTTTAAAAGGGGCTCATTTGGGATTTTTTCTTTTTCCCCTACTATTTTGAAAGAATATGCTTTGATGCAGCCCTGAGAGCAGTGTGTCTGCTGAAATTTGGCATGCCTCTGCTGCTGTGCAAAGCAGACACATGCAGCAAACATTGCATGGGAGTTATATCCTGACAGGGTGGTTCCTGAACCTATGCAAAGGAAAGGCCTCAAATTTCACAACAGCCTTTGCATGACCCAGCTCCACTTACACCAAACACAAGAGCAGGTTTGGGTAGAGGGGTTTTTTTCTCTTCAGTAGCTGTTCCTCTAAAAAGTAGTGCTCAGGCTATCACAGGTGAACTTGCCAGTTTGTGGGAGAAAGAGGGAAAGAAACAGCTCTGTCCCAAATCCAATTAGGGAACTGAAATGGGGGAGCAGGAAGTGTAAAGTTCCACTGGTTCCTAAGTGTGTCCATTTCTACCCTGTTCCACCCCTGCAGCAGAGCCAGCAGCAGCCACACCTTTCCAGGGCCTCAGACAATTCAGCTGAGCCACTGGCAAGGAATGATGAAGAGGAAGCAAGAGAAGATGATGGGTATGTGAGAGAGAAAGTGTCTATTAAAACTCTGATTTCATATATGTGGCAGAAAGAGGTTTTTGCCAAGCTGTAGTGTTCTGCAGAATGCTGTGCAGACTCTATTCAGACCTGGAATATAGTGGTCTGCCTGGAGGAGAACTAAAACAAACTCAGCAAAATCCAGCAGAAACCTTCCTTCTCTGTTTGTGAAGCCTTAGCTTCCTAGAAGCGGTCGCTCTAAATTTGAATGTCAGAGAATGGCACACATAAATGCTTGCAGTATATAAAAATTCTTGCAATGGTTGTGTTTCCGGGTGAGAATGTTTCATATTCAGAATAGGGGATGTTTTAAGTACCAGCATTTTCTTTGTTGGTAACCCTTGGTGCCCAGGGAAATGATTGGCTCCATGTTGAAATGGCTGCATGTTCTTTCTGGATCTGTTCTCTCTAGTGCACAGCCTGCAGATCCCGCTTGTCCTCTGAGTAGGGAGGATGAAGACTCAGAGGTGCGGGACAGGGAGCAGAGTCAGCTGTATCCCCTGGATTCCAGCGAGACAGAGGATTCAGCTGAGCTTTGGCCCAGTGACAATGAAGAGGAGCCAAGAGACAATGATGAGTATGTAACAGATGATGTGTCTCCCCAAGGTGTCATTGCTGATATAGGGTAGACACGGGTTCTTGCCAAACTGTTGGATTCTGCTTGATTCTGTGAGAAGGAATCTGATTTGAACCATAGTGTCCTGTCTGGAAGGGAACTAATGAAAAAAAACCCCTAGAAGCCAGCAAAATCCAGGAGAAACCTTTCTTCTCCATTCAGGAAGTCATTATTGAATGTTTCTTTACATTATGGATTGTGATACACTGAAATGCTTGCAGTCCGTTAAAGCTCTTGCACTGACTGTATTTCTGGGATGGGATGCTGCTTAATTAGAATAAGGGGTTATTTCAATTTCTTCAATTTTATGTCTTGGTAGCCCTCTGTGCACTGTGAAATTAACAACTGCATGTTCTTTCAGTTCTATTAACTCTGACGAGTGGCCAGATCGTTTTGAGAGTCCTCCGACATGGCGGGATGACATTACAGATGTGAGGATCATGTTCTTATCACATGTTCTTGTCCTTTCTGCTTTGTGGGAGGGGAGGAGCCAGAGGGGACTGCACAACTCAGTTGTCTTAGGTGGGATGCCACAGGCAGCTGGCTGGAAGCACAGCCCTTACTGGGAAGCTCCAAGTTGTTCATTCCTGCAAGTCCCTCCTTGGCGGTATCCATAGAGGGAGAAGCCCTTGCCAGGATCACTGGCAGATCCATGTGTTCCTTATAGTTCTAGCACTGACTGTCAGACTGCATATACTCCAAGTCCTGTTTGCCTGGTGCCACTAGAGCAGCAAATATTTTGCCCCAAATTCCTGTGGCTGTGGTTTCCGTTTCTCAGCAGCTGCTCATCCAACGCCAAGTGTTCAGCGCTAATGAGGGAAAGAAAAGCTTCTAGCCCAAATCCAGTTAGGGAACTGAAATGGGGAAACAGGATGGGGTGGCTTTGAGCTGTTCATAATCTGTCTCCTTTTTTACCCCATTGCAGGACTGGGAGGGGAGCCAGCAGTACCCATTGGATTCTGGATCAGCAGAGAATTCAAACCAAGTACTGGCGAGCAACCTCCAACAGGAACCAAGAGATATTGAATTGTATGTGAGAGATAAAGGGTCTCTCCAAAGTGTAATTTCTGATGTAATTTCTGCGTAGACACAGGATTTTGCCAATCTTTTGGGTTCTACTTGATTCAGTTTGGAGAATTCTGACTTGAATCACAGTGGCCTGTCTGGAAGAGAAGTAATGGGAAAAACCCCTAAAACCAGCAAAATCCAGGAGAAATATTTCCTCTCTGACAGGAAGTCATTATTGTAAAATTTCTTACCTTATGGATTGTGATACATGGAAATACTTGCAGAACATAAAAGCTCTTGCACTTGATTGTGTTTCTTGGCTGGGATGTTGCTAAATTAGAATAAGGGGTTACTTCAATTTCTGCAATTATATGTTTTGGTAAGCCTGTGTGCTGTGTGAAATTGATGGCTGCATGTTCTTCTGATTCTGCTCCCTCTAGTGAACCGCCAGGAGGTCTCGTTAGTCCTCCAAATTGGGAGGATGACAATGCAGAGGTGAGGACCCACATGTTGTTGTCATTTCTGATGTGTGGGAGGGGAAGGGAAAAGAGGGGCACTGCACAACTCAGTTGTTTTAGATGGGTGCTACGGGCAGCTGGCTGGAAGCACAGCCCTTCCTGGGTAGCTCCAAGTTGCCCATTCCTGCAAGTCCCTCCTTGGTGGTGTCCATAGAGGGAGAAGCCCTTGCCAGGATGGCACTGGCAGATCCATGTGCTCCTTGTAATTCTAGCACTGACTGATAGAGTTCTTTATTGCCAATGCCTGTTGTGGTTTCCTTTCTTCAGCAGCTCCTTCATCTAACATGAAGTGTTTAGAGTTCAAATAGCAGAATTTTCCAGTTTTGGGGAGAACAAGGGAAAGAAACAGCTCCAGGCCAAACTGAATTAGGGCACAGGAAGAGGGGAGGAGGGAGGAGGGTTTTCAGGTGGTTCCTAAGCTGCCTCTCTTTGTACCCTGTTGCATCAATGTGAGCAGAATCAGCAGCAGCCACTTGGTTGTTTTCAGGGCAGCAGCTGTTTGTGCTCCTGCTTTGAATGTTCTTAAGCCAACTTGGAGGGTGATAGCCTAGCCTTCCTCCCTCCTCTGCTAGAACTGCTTTCTGAGCTGAGGTTTGCATGCAGCACAGGGGGCTCACCAAATCTAACTGTATTTTCTTTTCTTTCCCTTCTCATGTGCATCACTGGAAGTTTCCTGAAGGTGAGTTGATGATTTACAGTTGGTAATGGACTTTTATCTAGAATGTAATAATTTTTTTTCTTTTCCAAGCACCTCAAGCAGCTGGGGTTGAAAGTGCTTTTAGTAAAAGGCAGAGGACAGGCTGAAGCTGCTAGCCAGTGTCTTAGAGAATGGATCCAATGTGTGTGTGGTGGCCTCTATCAGACACAGTGGAAAATCGCTTCCATAACAGTTGAGGCTGAATACTTAAGCAGAAGGAACTTGAATTTGGTGATACTTGCTACAGTTTTAATCAATTAGTGATTGATTAGTATCACATGGAGAATGGAATTGCAGAAGTCATTGATGCCTGCTTTTTCTGAGAGTTAAACAGCATTTCTTGACCCTCTGGCTGTTACAGACCAGGCCATTTAAAATTGATCTCTCTTGAACTTGGTCAAGATGTTGCCCACAAAAACTGGATTTTGTTACTGGGGTGCAACAGGTCAATAGTTCTACACTTGGGAGAGACATTGATTGTTTATTTCAGTGTTGCACCAGTCTGGGTGCTCAGTGCTATTTCACCTCACAGACACGCTCACTAGCAAAACTTCCATTATTTACAAATTTGAACAAACAAAGAAATTGGTATTGATTGGTTACAAGTGACACGGTCATCTTCCTAATGAGTTTTCTCCCTTCTTTTGGTTACCAATTGTCTCACTTCTCCCTAGAATTAGTCCAATCTGGCTGGTCGCAATCTCCCCCTGCAGGAATTACTTTTTACCAGTCAAAGGTGATTTCAGGAGAGTTGGGTTTCTTAGTTGCTTCCTAATCTTGGGACTTGTGTTGGATGTCCTTTTGGCCCCACAATTCTGCATTCTTTGTGTCCACTCTCAGTGGGCATCCTTCTCCTGAAGCTTTGTTAATTTTTCCCTGGGTCTGAGCTCCTTGAAGCCTGCCATGGCATGAAGCTTAACAAGGCAATTCTACCAACAAGGGATTTGTTTTTCTAACCCATGGGCATCACTTAGAGCTTATTTGTTAGTTGCTGTCTATTTCATGGATTAAATCTCCCTTCCGCTTGATTTGGCTTGAAAATATACAAGGGTGAAATATATCAATACAAAGAGCATCCTTCCTTAAGAGCTCTTTTACATGTTCTACATTTTGCATCCCACAGAAGTCTATTTTCAAATTACCTTAAGTCAGGAGGGACATGATGACAATTTTTAAGGGGACACTGCTCCAAGTAATTTTGTAGTTTCCAGGGACTGTCCTTGAGAATTACCTTTTTAGCTGTGTGTAGAGTGAACAAAGCAAATGTTTTGTGTTGGTCCATAGCAGAGTAGTTGTCGTACTGTATTAAGAGCACCAAGAAGTACGATATGACTCTCTTAGTTGCTTTGTCCAAGAGAGCAAGATTTATTATTCCAGATCTTCTTTTACAGATGTGTTTGAGAAGGTCTGAGAGGTAAAGCTCTCATTGGTCATGAAACTTACACATCACTATCACTGGTTAATTGGAACAGCACCCCTTGACTGTTTCTGGTGAGGAAACAACAAGGATTCTAAACAACACCTGCAAAGATTGCTGTCCTTTCCCAGGGACTTGTTTGGATTTTTCATTATGTTTTCTCAGGCCGGAGGGAGAAGCTTGTGTGACTTAGTTTCACACAGACTGGGTGTTCCTGCTTGCTTTTTGCATTTAGCATCCACAGGTAGTCACAATGTCTGGAAAGGTTCAGCCTTACTCTTTGGGAAAGTAGTTTGTTTCAGGTTGTTTTTAACCCAGATGAACAGAGTCCATTTAAAATAGGAACCATTACTGACTATTTCTAGAACTCATTTGAAGGGTACCTCCAGGGAGAGAGGGAATAACAGATCTAACGTCTGAAAATTCAATTACAGTGCATGGACAAGAAGGGAGAAGCGTGGCAGTGAACAGTCAGGAGCAGGTGGATGGCTCTGGTGATGGATCAGGAGGGAATGATGCACCTGTGGCTGTTGCAGCCCCTGTAGAACAAGCATCAGCAGAGGATACTGAACGTTCAGCGTACGTATGGCTCATGTCCTACCAAACATGGAATTTTGTGCTTTATTTTCTTGTCTCTGTAGGACTAAGTTATCTGGTTTATCTTTGAAACCTTCACTACTCTCCTTATTTCCATACTTCTCCTGTGTTACATGATGATCAAATGATGCCAGTTGCATTTAGGGAGAAAAAGGCAGCCCAAGGCAGACACCACAGAGCCTTAGAGATGAGAGTGGGGCTATGGCAAGGAAGGGCATTGGTCACAGGCCATAGCTCAGGATTGCATTTGCTTTTTCTGACAAGTTCTAGTAGCCACGTTAGATATGGAAATACTTCCCTTGATACCAATGAGGCTTGGCATCATGGGGCCAGCAGGCAGCAGCTGGGCAAATTCCAGCAGAACTTGCCTGCTGGAATGCTGCCAGCTGGTTCCCTTTCTTCTGGAGCTGGAGCCCTTCTTCCCAAGGTAGACTTGCACACAGGCAGCTGTGGAGGTCCTGCTTTTATGGCCAGTGCTGGATGTCACAAGCCCTGATTTCTTTGCTTCTGGCATGGAGATCTTGCAGTTCAAGCTGGGTGCCTGCACAGTAAAATCCCCGTTCTGCAGAGAAACAGCAAAGTCCTGCTGTGGGAGTGCTCCAGCAGAATTAGAAAGATGCAATGCATTAGGCTGATTAAATGAAACCAGGTGTCTGTGGCACTAGGGTGGACAAAGAACATGATTTCTAAAGTGTTTTTTTGGGGTGAAAGGGAAAGGCACAGGTTTTAATAAATCTGGTGTTCTTTGAGCCTTTGGGAAAGGCAATGTAGGAGAGAAATTGAGTATGGACCTTTTAGGTGTCAGGGCTTAAATATGCCACCTCAAGGGCTTTCACTATTCTTAACCATAATGCTTTTAGCCAATGAATGTGTACATGTTTAAGTTTTGGTTGTTCCGTCTGTAGGTGAGCAAATCCCACCACTTGGGATTCATATAGCAAAGGAATACTTTGTTCCTTCAGTTCTCTGTTCCAGAATGGAACTGCTCTGAAAGAACTCAGTGCTGCAGCATTCAACATTGACCAAAGACACCTTCCCGGGGCTTGATCTTGCCAGAGCTGTGTTACTCTGTAGCGTTAGAACTGGCTCCTGGAATGAATATTCCGGGCTGAATAGTTCCCAGAGGACAGCTGGATGCTGTAATTCCCAAGCTGTTCCTGATGAGCCGCTGGAAGTCCAAGTTTCCAAACACCAACTGGCCAGTGCTAAAGACTGCTCTCACTTCAAATGCCAGAGCAGGGTGACTGACTGCACCTTTCTCTTAGTGAAAACCAGGATGCTCTTTTGCTCAAGGCAGGGAGACCCCAAATCCTCATTAAATGCAGGAAAGAGAGACTTAAAGACAGCAGGCTTCTTCAAAGGATATGTGCCAGGGCTAGTCAGTGTAGTGTCATGATTAGGTGAGATTTTATGTATGAAGAACCATTGAAGTGTGGTGATATTAACAGCTGCATGTTCTTTCTGCTTCTGTTCCCTCTAGTGCAGAGCCAGGAATTGTTATTAAGTGTCCAATTTGCATGGACTTTTACTCGGAGGTAAGGCTCCACCTCTTGTCATCCTTTGTGCTTTGTGGGAGGAGGAAGAAGCCAAAAGGGGAGTTGCACAAGTCAGTCGGCTGATGTGGGCAGCTGGCTGGAAGCACAGCCCTTGCTGGGAAGCTCCACAAGTCCCTTCTTGGTGGTGAATGTAGAGGGAGAAGCTCCTGTCAGGACAGCACTGGCAGATCCTTTGGTCCCTCATTGTTCTAATTGATTGCAGATGCTCTCAGGTCTCATTTGCCTGGTGCCAATAGAGCAACAAACTCAAATTCTTTCCTCCCAATACATGTTGTTGTTGTTTTCTTTCTTCCAGATTGTGCAGAGTGGACGAGAGCTCGTGTCAACTTTATGTGGCCACTTGTTCTGCAGCACGTGCCTCCCTAGAGCCCTGGAGACTGCTCAGATGTGCCCAATCTGCAGAGCAGAACTCAATCCAGGGCNATGTTGCCCACAAAAACTGGATTTTGTTACTGGGGTGCAACAGGTCAATAGTTCTACACTTGGGAGAGACATTGATTGTTTATTTCAGTGCTGCACTTTCAGTCTGGCTGCTCAGTGCTATTTCACCTCACAGACACGCTCACTAGCAAAACTTCCATTATTTACAAATTTGAACAAACAAAGAAATTGGTATTGATTGGTTACAAGTGACACGGTCATCTTCCTAATGAGTTTTCTCCCTTCTTTTGGTTACCAATTGTCTCACTTCTCCCTAGAATTAGTCCAATCTGTCCATTGCTCAGGTCTCTCTCTTCTTTTGGGCTGGTCGCAATCTCCCCCTGCAGGAATTACTTTTTACCAGTCAAAGGTGATTTCAGGAGAGTTGGGTTTCTTAGTTGCTTCCTAATCTTGGGACTTGTGTTGGATGTCCTTTTGGCCCCTCAATTCTGCATTCTTTGTGTCCACTCTCAGTGGGCATCCTTCTTCTGAAGCTTTGTTAATTTTTCCCTGGGTCTGAGCTCCTTGAAGCCTGCCATGGCATGAAGCTTAACAAGGCAATTCTACCAACAAGGGATTTGTTTTTCTAACCCGTGGGCATCACTTAGAGCTTATTTGTTAGTTGCTGTCTATTTCATGGATTAAATCTCCCTTCCGCTTGATTTGGCTTGAAAATATACAAGGGTGAAATAGATCAATACGAAGAGCATCCTTCCTTAAGAGCTCTTTTACATGTTCTACATTTTGCATCCCACAGAAGTCTATTTTCAAATTGCCTTAAGTCAGGAGGGACATGATGACAATTTTTAAGGGGACACTGCTCCAAGTAATTTTGTAGTTTCCAGGGACTGTCCTTGAGAATCACCTTTTTAGCTGTGTGTAGAGTGAGCAAAGCAAATGTTTTGTGTTGGTCCGTAGCAGAGTAGTTGTCGTACTGTATTAAGAGCACCAAGAAGTACGATATGACTCTCTTAGTTGCTTTGTCCAAGAGAGCATGATTTATTATTCCAGATCTTCTTTTACAGATGTGTTTGAGAAGGTCTGAGAGGTAAAGCTCTCATTGGTCATGAAACTTACACATCACTATCACTGGTTAATTGGAACAGCACCCCTTGACTGTTTCTGGTGAGGAAACAACAAGGATTCTAAACAACACCTGCAAAGATTGCTGTCCTTTCCCAGGGACTTGTTTGGATTTTTCATTATGTTTTCTCAGGCCAGAGGGAGAAGCTTGTGTGACTTAGTTTCACACAGACTGGGTGTTCCTGCTTGCTTTTTGCATTTAGCATCCACAAGTAGTCACAATGTCTGGAAAGGTTCAGCCTTACTCTTTGGGAAAGTAGTTTGTTTCAGGTTGTTTTTAACCCAGATGAACAGAGTCCATTTAAAATAGGAACCATTACTGACTATTTCTAGAACTCATTTGAAGGGTACCTCCAGGGAGAGCGGGAATAACAGATCTAACGTCTGAAAATTCAATTACAGTGCATGGACAAGAAGGGAGAAGCGTGGTAGTGAACAGTCAGGAGCAGGTGGATGGCTCTGGTGACGGATCAGGAGGGAATGATGCACCTGTGGCTGTTGCAGCCCCTGCAGAACAGGCATCAGCGGAGGATACTGAACGTTCAGCGTACGTATGGCTCATGCCCTACCAAACATGGAATTTTGTGCTTTATTTTCTTGTCTCTGTAGGACTAAGTTATCTGGTTTATCTTTGAAGCCTTCCCTACTCTACTTATTTCCATACTTCTCCTGTGTTACATGATGATCAAATGATGCCAGTTGCATTTAGGGAGAAAAAGACAGCCCAGGGCAGACACCACAGAACCTTAGAGATGAGAGTGGGGCTATGGCAAGGAAGGGCATTGGTCACAGGCCATAGCTCAGGATTGCATTTGCTTTTTCTGACAAGTTCTAGTAGCCATGTTAGATATGGAAATACTTCCCTTGATACCAATGAGGCTTGGCATCATGGGGCCAGCAGGCAGCAGCTGGGCAAATTCCAGCAGAACTTGCCTGCTGGAATGCTGCCAGCTGGTTCCCTTTCTTCTGGAGCTGGAGCCCTTCTTCCCAAGGTAGACTTGCACACAGGCAGCTGTGGAGGTCCAGCTTTTATGGCCAGTGCTGGATGTCACAAGCCCTGATTTCTTTGCTTCTGGCATGGAGATCTTGCAGTTCAAGCTGGGTGCCTGCACAGTAAAATCCCCGTTCTGCAGAGAAACAGCAAAGTCCTGCTGTGGGAGTGCTCCAGCAGAATTAGAAAGATGCAATGCATTAGGCCGATTAAATTAAACCAGGTGTCTGTGGCACTAGGGTGGACAAAGAACATGAGAATGAAATGGAAGGTTTTCTAAAGTGTTTTTTTGGGGTGAAAGGGAAAGGCACAGGTTTAAATAAAGCTGGTGTTCTTTGAGCCTTTGGGAAAGGCAATGTAGGAGAGAAATTGAGTATGGACCTTTTAGGTGTCAGGTCTTAAATATGCCACCTCAAGGGCTTTCACTATTCTTAACCATAATGCTTTTAGCCAATGAAATTGTACATGTTTAAGTTTTGGTTGTTCCGTCTGTAGGTGAACAAATCCCACCACTTGGGATTCATACAGCAAAGGAATACTTTGTTCCTTCAGTTCTCTGTTCCAGAATGGAACTGCTCTGAAAGAACTCAGTGCTGCAGCACTCAACATTGACCAAAGGCTCCTTCCCGGGGCTGGATCTTGCCAGAGCCATGTTACTCTGTAGCGTTAGAACTGGCTCCTGGAATGAATATTCCGGGCTGAATAGTTCCCAGAGGACAGCTGGATGCTGTAATTCCCAAGCTGTTCCTGATGAGCTGCTGGAAGTCCAAGTTTCCAAACACCAACTGGCCAGTGCTAAAGACTGCTCTCACTTCAAATGCCAGAGCAGGGTGACTGACTGCACCTTTCTCTTAGTGAAAACCAGGATGCTCTTTTGCTCAAGGCAGGGAGACCCCAAATCCTCATTAAATGCAGGAAAGAGAGAGTTAAAGACAGCAGGCTTCTTCAAAGGATATGTGCCAGGGCTAGTCAGTGTAGTGTCATGATTAGGTGAGATTTTATGTATGAAGAACCATTGAAGTGTGGTGATATTAACAGCTGCATGTTCTTTCTGCTTCTGTTCCCTCTAGTGCAGAGCCAGGAATTGTTATTAAGTGTCCAATTTGCATGGACTTTTACTCGGAGGTAAGGCTCCACCTCTTGTCATCCTTTGTGCTTTGTGGGAGGAGGAAAAAGCCAAAAGGGGAGTTGCACAAGTCAGTCGGCTGATGTGGGCAGCTGGCTGGAAGCACAGCCCTTGCTGGGAAGCTCCACAAGTCCCTTCTTGGTGGTGAATGTAGAGGGAGAAGCCCTTGCCAGGACGGCACTGGCAGATCCTTTGGTCCCTCATTGTTCTAATTGATTGCAGATGCTCTCAGGTCTCATTTGCCTGGTGCCAACAGAGCAGCAAACTCGAATTCTTTCCTCCCAATACATGTTGTTGTTGTTTTCTTTCTTCCAGATTGTGCAGAGTGGACGAGAGCTCGTGTCAACTTTATGTGGCCACTTGTTCTGCAGCACGTGCCTCCCTAGAGCCCTGGAGACTGCTCAGATGTGCCCAATCTGCAGAGCAGAACTCAATCCAGGGCTATACCATCCAATTTATTTTTGAGTGCCTCTGCTTCTCTGGACAGACTCAGGAGGATCTTGGAGACTAGGCGGTGTACAGTCTTATTTCTTTACATAGATAGTTTTTCCTGTACATAGTTTCATTTTTTCTGAGTTCAGTTTTAAATAAAGTTTTGATTGATTTAAATCTAGTCTGTCTATTCTTCTGTGTTGGATGTGCTGATAGACAGAGATGTTGTTTAACAGGTGGAAATAAGACTCTTGGTTTGAGCAGTCAGAAGCTCGTTCTTTTCATCACACAGTGACATGACATCAGTCACTGATTTGGGGGAAACGTGCTTTGTAGTTCTTGTGGCCAGTGTGTGTTGTACAGGGAAAAGAACCAGGCACTGCTTGGGATGCAAGGCCTTGTACTTCTCAGGTCACAATCTGGTGGATGTTTAGGTGAAAATATCATGATTTCAGTGCTCTGGAGATTGAAAGAACAGCTGATTGTGTACTGATGCAAAGAAAACAGTTTTCTTTGAGAATAACTTGTAGGTATCCAAACAGCTTTTTTATGGTCCAAGCTGCTCCATAATGTTGTGGTTAAAGCATTCTATTGATGACTGCCAGCTTCTCTGAAGCCCTTTACTCTTCTAAAAAGCCTTTAAGCTTAAGGGCAGCCACAGGAATATAGATGTGTAGACTGCTGTGCTCAACACCTAGCCTACAAAACAGAAGACAGAAGTAAGTAGTCAGGTAAAGAAAGCAACTGCCATGAACATCATCATGATCATCATCATCACCACCATCTACCTTTCCCACTGCAAAAGCAAGTTCTCTCCAGAGGGGATGATTGTGCTGATGTGGGCTGGCAGTAAGTGGCCCCATCCATCACAGGGACATGACCAGTGAGTGCCCATGGTAGGTACCTGTCCATTTGGGAGAAAGCATTGTGCTGAGGGCACAAGTCTTTAATCACCTGCAGGGCTAAGCAAGACCTACACTTCCCAAGCTCTAGTTTCTGTGCTGGTGAACATCTCCATCTGCCAGCTGGCCATGGTACTTCACAGCTCAAGGGCTGCTGAAATATTCTTCCCTGCATGGGAGCCCTGCACAAGGGCTCATCATACATTTCTCCTTCTTCTGTTTCATCAGTGGAGTTTTCACTTCCTGGCGATGGAAACCCCAAGGAGAAATAAATCATCATGGACTTCACTACCTTCACCACTACATGTGGTGCACCCAGTGTTCATCTAAGGGCATTTGCAATCAGAACGCCAAATTTCTTGCTGCTTGAGGAGAAAGGAAAAAAAAGGAAGGTGATTTTGTTACACTGATATTTCTAGTCCCTCTGAATTAAAAGACAAAAGTTTGCTGCAAGTTGTCCAAGACAAAAAGCACTGCTTCCTTTTGTAAAGCAACATTTAACAGGTATCATTAGAAGAGGTATTCTTTAGTTCTCTATTGCAGTATTTCATAGGTTGCATATTTGGGAAGCTGTGCTTTTACTTCTTCCAACAGATCCAAACCACTGCTTTGATTTGTTTGCTTGTTTTACATCTGCTCCAGAAGTTTTCAGTATTTCTCTAGCAATCTGCTATGGTGTGCTGGAAATTGCAAGTCAGCTTAGCTAAAACAAGACCAGTTTTGATTAATACGGGAGAAGAAAGCAAATGGCACAGGAGTGGTTGATGGGCCATTGATGCTCTGAGATGGCAAGAGGCAGTTTTGGAGGTTGATGTAACAAGTTTGCCTGCTAAATATTTCTGGCAAGGCACCTGCTGTCACATAGCTTCAGGTAAGCCACAAAACCATGGAGGGATGAACAATTAAAAATTTGAATTAAATTTAAATTAAAAAAATAAAACTGGATCGGTTAACATTATCCCATTATTAGTCTCTAAAAAGATGACTGGCCCTTGCAACTTTCCTTGGTTTCTATTTCACTCACAGGACTTCAGGCCTGAAAAGTGTTTTCCTGGACATTAAACCTGCAGAACAAAACAGGAGTTGGATGGCTGCTGTCCCTGTCCCCACCACAGGCATATGCCATGCCTTGGCAATGTGAAGCACTTTTGCTCTTGTTTTTCCCCTTGGTAACATGGGAATAATGTCACTCATTTTCTCTTAGAAAACACAGACTCTAAGTATTCATGTGCTCTGTTAGAAAGAGTTCTCTGAAAGCTGTGAGATTATTTGATCCATAATAGTTAGGGTTTCTTTTTCCCTGAACATGATCTCAAGTACCTGAAATTCTTTCTCCAGTACTTGTGGTCATTAACTTTTCCTTATTTTGCTCTACTAGGTATGTTATTTATACACTACACTAATTCCTGCTGCTTCCAACACACAGGAGCAAAATAACTAATTTAATATGTCAGACACAGCCATGGAAAATAAAAACCGTATGTGTCTAATGACTGAAGCTCAGCTAAAGTTAGTGCATTGTCTTTGCACTGCCAACTGAATCCTAATGGTTCTGTTCCTTAAACTGGCGCAATAAACCAGCACGTTAGGTGTCCTCATTTAATGAGGAGGGAAATAAAAAAAGTCTGGAATATTTTTAAACCAAACATTTCTGGATCTAGAAGTCACCTCCATTCTGTAGTCCATGGCAAGGCTCAGAAAACTGCAGTTTTTTCAGACAAACTTTTTTCTGAGTGCAAGAAGACGAAGCTCATTCTCTCCTCTTCAGACCCACACCTCTGCCTAGCAGTCCCTCTAATATTATCAGATCACCTGGTGCAGTTCAGGAAAATAGAGCAATGACATGTTTTAGTTTTCTTCTTCCAGAGCATGCACAGGTACATAAATTCACACCTGCTTGCCCCAGGGATGCAGGAACCCCACTGAAGAGGCAAGGATGTATTTTCCAGACTAGAGATAGCACAGGTGCAAATTCCTTCAAGGTGTACATGGTACACACCCTGCTAAGGGGACAATCCCCAAACAGCTCATTCCATCATTGATCTGTAGACACAGAAAAATTGTTTCTTTAGAGCTTTGAAATCCCAGAAAGCAGAGACGCAGCATATTGGCCTCCTTCATTTATCAAAAACCACCCCTTACCTTTGCTCCCAAGATACTGCATGACTCAGCAGGCTGGCCCCTCCCCACCTGGCCAGCTCCCATTTGTGCTTCTCATTCAAACATTTCTCCACTCAAGGATGAGAATTTCATCACCTTCGCTGTGTCGTGGTCCTGTGCATGCTACTGCTTCAGGCCAGCAAAGTTTCAAAGAACTGCTAAAATGCTGTTTAAAAGAAGCCTAAAAATCATGAGCTGTGAAGAACTGTTTGAAGGGGGAAGCATCACTCCAGATTGCAACTTGTACAGGTTTCGAGGCTGGGCACTGGGAACAGGGAGTCGGGCACCAGCCTTGAACACTGAGCTTAAAATGGTGTTTTGAACTATATGTTTTTAGGTACAGAGCTCGATGCTGGCTGCCTGGAGGGGGCCAGGTGCCCATCACAAAGGGCTCCTCTCAGCATGCAGACACCTTCATGGCTGTGTGAGAACAGCAGGCACAGCCTGGAGAGAGAAGGATGTTTTCTCCCTTGTAACACTGTGTTTTTTTAGAGAAGGCAAAAGCAGACTGCCTGAGGGAGCAGATGAAAACAGCACATCTCAAAAGGGAAGGAGCATGGCTACAGGACAATAACAATTTCCTCCCCTCAGTGAGACCCATCATCATCCCATGCCAAGGACCAGGAACTGAAATGTACTTAACTACTGCACAGATTCCCAGCAAACCCCTCCTTCCAGTGCTCAGCCTTCTGGTTCCTAAGCTGGCAGCCAAGCTTGGCCAACTGAAGGTGACCCAAATATATCCAGGTTTCTGGAGGATGGAAGATGCCCCAAAGCTTCCATCCTTTGCCAAGAGAAGTATTTAGGAGCGTGCAAAGCAGCCCCCACAATAAGAAACCTACCTGAGAAAGAGGGAGGGCGATACATGAGGCAAAATTTCCCTGGTAGTGGCACCTGAAAGGAATTACTGGGGTGATGGGGAACACAAGTGCCTCAGGGCCCGCTTCCCTGTGGTCTCCCAGCACCTCAGCTGTGCACAGTCTGGCACAGGTGCATGACAGCTTGCCATGGCTCCTAAATCATCTGGCTTGGGCAACATGAAAGCACAGTCTGATTCACATCCTGGCTCCATTTATCTCCATCTCCCAGAGGTGCAGGCCAGGCTTTTCATGAAGAGCATTTAGCAGAGCTTGAACTGTAGTGCAGTAGGATTAAGTATTTTCTGTTCCTCTCTGCAAAGAATGCTCACAGATTTGTGGATGTGAGGGAGGGACCAAGGGAGAGTGTGGTAAGCAAGCCCAACATTGGGCAGATGAGGGGTTTGCACCCAGAAGGTGCTTCTCTCCCATCCTGCCTCTTGATCCCCCTTCCATCAGCAGGGGCTCTGACTGCAAGGGGGGAGCATTTAGAAATTTCCATAGCTCAACTTTGAATCTGACCTGCAAGTCCAATGCAGAGCCCTGATGGTGAGCAGAGCAGCTGCAGGTACCTGCAATCACTTCCTCTCTGCCCTTTCCATCAGGTGTGTCCTTCAGTGAGGTCAGCTGCTAAAAATGTCAGGGGAAAAAAGTCTCCCTCCAATTACTTTTTTTTCCTAGGAGCAGCTCTTTGTTGAGCTTCCTAGTACTGAGTCTTTGGAGTGTGCACATGGATTTGTGAAGATGGGACTGGAAGTGAGTGTGATCAGACTGACTGGCATGGGACACCTGTGGCCACAGCCTGACCTGCAGCACACAGCACTTACCTTACGCTGAAGGTTAAAGGTCTGATGTGGTTTTCTCCTTTATATGGTTCTTTCTTAGGTTGATGTGAGCAGCAAAGTTCATCTCTGCCTCTGAACTCCCCCAAGCTATATGGATTTCGTTTGGTATGCTCTTCTTCACCCTTCCTTACTTTGCCAGCTAAATTCAGACAAGGTATGAGCTGTCAAAAGAATAACTTACAAGTACAGGAGCTAGAAAAGTCTTGAAGTGTAAAGCTGGCAGGCCCCAAAGACCTGCAGGGACTATCCAATCCATCTGGTGCTCCAGGGTGCAGAGCAAACAGGCTTTTGACTAGTTCATAACCGCAGCATATGCAAAAGGCTCAATTATTGCTTCTTAAAAAGCCCAAATTATCTCCTGGAGTTGGAGACTGACAGCCACACAGTCTCCACAGCGTTATGCACGACTGAATTTTTGCTGGCTTATTCTCTGCTGTTCTGTACTGCCTGTAATTGCATTGCATTTTAACTGTTTAGCATCGTCAGAACTTCAGCCCCAGGGGCAGCGGAGGTGGTGAGAGCTCAATACATCAAATTACTACCCAAAGAGCAAGCAGACAAAAAGCAGAGCAGGGAGGGAGGGAAACAGACAAATGAGCCACATTCATTAGAAAAACAGCAGCCCTGACCAGGGAAGCGTCCTACTGATGTAATGAGAAAGGTGAAAGTTGTTAATAATAATAAAGAACACAGTAACACAGTGGCTTTTCTATCAGAAAGCACCAAATCTGGAGAAAATAAATGCTCTGTGGAAAGCAGAGATGAAAACTGACAAAATGCTCCTTGCCCACATAGCACTTTCTTTCTTCCCAGTTGTATTTAGTGGGGTTTTTTGTGGTATTGAGTTCTGTAGCTGCAGTGTTTATTGCTGCTCCCTTGAGTGCTGTGATGTGGCCCCAAAAGCTGGCATTGCTGCTACAGAAGCCCTGCCATGCGAGGCACTGAGGCACCGTCCCACAGGCAGGTTTGTGTTCTACCCTTGGCCAGGCAGCGGTCCTGACTGCTGCTCCTCTCTTTGGAATTTTGCCACCTGTGAGGGTCCTGATGTGTAACAGAGCTCTTGATGGGTCAGCCCTGCTGAGGCACCCCAGAAGCTCTGACCTCAGTTAAATGACTCTGCAGCTTAGCACCCTGAAATTACAGGACACTGCTCCAGGGAACAGGCCCAGCACAACGCAGAGGCCACAGTGATACAGCCCAGGAATGAAGGGTTACCCACGGATGCCTGAAGAACAGCCCCAGAGCTGCCCACCATGGCACGGGGTCCACAGGACCCAGCAGGACCTGCTGGGTGTCCCCTGTAGGCCACCAGCAGCCTGCTTGTGGGTCTTCATCCTGCCTACCTGCAAAGCCATGGGAGGAGAAGATCACAGAATAATTTGGGTTGGAAGTGACCTTTAAGGTCTAGTCCAACCCTCAAGATGAAGCAAAGACAGAGGGACACCAACAGGCACAGCCAGCACTGCCAGCAATAAAGATGGCTGTGGCAGCAGAGAGGTTTCTGTCCCTGTCCCAGTGCAGCCTGATAGGGAAGTGCCTCTGCTGTGGCTCTCCACAGTGAATGTGCAAGGTGGATCTTCAGCTGTCTATGCTGAAAATTTTGAGGGTATTGATGTTTCATGTCAGCTGCATTCACCAGGGTTAATTAAAGTCTGTGTTTTATAGATTGCCCTTGGCCATAAACGGAAAAGCTGCCTCAACTGGAAATCAATAGAGTAATCTTTAAGCTCTTTTATTTTATTAGATATAGGGTTCTAATTTGAAGAAATTGAGGAGCCATAATTAATGGTGCCAGAGAGGTCCTGAGATGTATGTTTAAAGCTTCCTGAGGAGAGTGCTTTGCTGTAGGCAGTGTGCTAGAGGTGCCCAGCATGCCGGGGCACACCACACACGCTGGGGAATGCTCTGGTGAGTGAGCTCCCAGGAGTGCTGCAGAAATCCAACAGCAAATCAATAGCCAGCACTCTGCCCAAAAATTGAAGGGAAGGCTGTGAAGGCAGTGCTGTCATCACAGGGCACAGCAGAAAAGCCAAATCCTCGGCTGCTGACAACCAAGGAGTCTCACAGATGCTGCCAATGGCCTCCCTGTCCCAAGCCAGAGAGACTGATGTGCTTTATGCCTTTCTCCAAGTCTTCTGTGCACTGATATGCAGTGAAATGATTCGCCCCTCTGCAGTGGGGCAGAGTCATTCCAAAACCACAGATGCCTTTGGGGGTTTTGGAAGGTGAAGTATCCCGACACTGCTACTGCTTTCCCTTGCAACAGCCTTGCTGGCAGGACTTTCCCACAACAGACTGAGGAATATTTTTCATTTAAGCAGCTTTCTGAACAGTGCCTGTAAAATAGTTCTGTCCACAGACAATGAAGTGTCAAGGGCCAGAATATTTCCTGTGATCCAATAAGCAGAATAAACCCCAAAAGACTGGCCTATTCATGAGCAACCTCAGCCAAACATGCAAGGATAAATACAGAAGTACTTAGAAGGCTAATAAGCTGCTTGTGCTTGAAAAGCATGTAATGCCTACCTTTTCAGCATCTACCTTTTAGAAATAATTATTGTCAACTTTTCTATGTTGTTTTTCTCATTTCTAGACCTTTTCCCTGTAAATAATGATGAAAGCATTTTTCTTTCTGTGAGTCAAATAACTTACTTGACACAGCATCTGAGAGTAGAAAGCCAATTGTCAATACACTGTGCCACACCTTTTTTTTTTTTTTTGTGTTTGGTTGGCTCTTTTTCTTCAGTGCCCCCTTGCCTTGTTTGGGACTGCGTCCAAAATCCCAGCATGCTGCAACTAGTCACTCCCAAAATATTGCAAATCTTTTCACTTTTAAGCAGGGTTAGATTCTGGGAAGAGCTGAGGGAAATTTTCTGTGCTTGAAGACAGTGACTCGCCTTCCCAAGCTAAGCCTGTGATAAGAAATGTTGAAAACACCTTCTCCTGGCAAACCTGAGCTCTGCACACTTTGCAGCCAGTGATCAATGATATCCCAAAATCTTTGCCAGCCAAATATGTTCTGTAGTCTTGGATTGTAACATATTAATCACAATCATATACTTGAGCAAAAAACTTGTTTAAGAAGTAACTCACGGGCTGAACTAATTTGTAAGCAGATCCAGTTTAATTACATTTCTGTGGGCATGTTCATTCCACAGTGAAGTGGATGTCATTCACTTCTTTAACAAATTAGGACACAGAAGCTGAAGAACATTAAATTTAGATGGGACTGTCCTCAGAGGATTTAGTCAAATTTTAGTGAGAAGACTTATACAAATATAGATACATTTTCCTAGTATTTTCCTATAGACAAACTTTATATTATATTGGAGGACCATCTTTAACTTTTGGGGTTTTTTTTACATACTAGTGATTAGAAAAATTCTAGTGGCTCTTTTAGACACATGTTACAGCAGAGCTGTTGAGCCAGACAACCTGAATTGATTTTTCATTTCTTTTTCATCTACCTAAGCCATTGCATGTAACTTCTTTAAATACAGAGTTCTCTCTGCAAATAGTTCATCACCTCCCATTAAAGGCAATTCCAGCACCTCCAACTCTACAGAAGAAAAGCACCCCAAATATTCTTTCAAATACTTTCTGGGCTTTACAGATATCCTTCAAGCAAATCTGTCTTCTTCATACAAACATCAGTTCCCTTGAGATTCTTAACAAGAATGGAAGTTCATGTGTCTCCTCTTACCAAAAGTTTTATCATTTCTGGGGTTAAGAGGATCTCAGGCTCTTATTTCTGCTGTCCACTAAACTCACCTTTTTACTTCATACACAGCACAAGTCAGTCTCTTTGAGAGATGTTTCCCAGCCTTCTGTTGAGTGCTTGGTTGTCTACCATGCCCCTCACCATGAAGAGCCCAAACACCTTCCCAGTTTTGCTGTTTTTCACTTTTCTGGTATCAGGATTTGCAGAGAGGCCTGTCCTCTCCCCATCACTGATTGTGATGAGGAGGAGTTTCCACTTGCCACCTCTAGCATGGCTTCTTCAAGGTTTCACAGAGCCCCTGCCACCACCATGCCCAGAGTATTTAATGTCTGCTCTCCAGGCTTGCCATAAAGGGTCTACCTCATTCTGTGAAACAGACATTTCAGCAAACAGAAAAGGAGAGCTACTTAGTAAAGATAATAAATTTTAATAGGCAGTAAATTTATTTTTCTTGACACAATATGGTAGTTTCTGAACAGATTTTGCACAAAAACACAGATATTTCAAAATATTTCTCTGCTTCTCTCTACTCTCCTTTCACTATGATACAACACACTACAAAATACCTTAATCAACATGAAAATCCAGAATGACTGCTTTTTTTTGAAGGAAACCTCATTATTCAGGAACCAGAACAGTTGCAGATGCCAACTACAACTATTAGATGGCCTGACCTTTCCAAAGTAGGCATCCAAGACTTTTCTGCTCCTGAGGAACACAAGTGATCCAGGAATACCTGAATGAACCATGTAAGTTCAGCTGCAGCATGGACACTTGTTTCCCATCTTTTATTGAGTTTCACCAGAAGTCTCTCATGGTGCCACCAGGACAGAAGATTATCAGACCCGCCAAATTGGAAGTAAGAGCAACAGCCAAGCACAGGGAAATAAACACTTTTCAGATTTGTCTATAGGCATGAATTAATAAATCTTCTCAATCTCTCACTATAATGCTAGGCAAATTTTAATATTTCAGAGAAGGAAATGGGAGAGAAAAGTTCCTCAAATGCATTATATCAATAGGTATCAAAACTCAGGTGACTGTCCTGGATCTTGGTCCTGGAGTTAGACCACAAGTTGTCTTCCTTCCATTTCCCAATTAAAAAAAAAGGTAATTCTTTGAATGCTACAGTCAGTGGATTGAGACTGAGAAGATGCTCACAGTAATATAACTTTCAAACATTTATAGTTCTAGAAAGGTAGGGTACATACAGGTAGAAGCACTACTTGATATTTTGGAACTGTCAGCTCTGTACAAATTAAGAGTGTCTGTAATTAGCACTTGAAACACTCTTTGAACTTCCAGAGTTATTCAATAACCCTCAGGAATCCCATGCATTACTCAGAACACAGGGAAGAAAGTTCATCTGTGAAATTGCTTACCTAGCTGATTCCCACTGCGTGCCCCAGGCTATATGGAAGTCATATTTGTAGCACACATAGTGCAGTTATCCAAGGAACAGGTGAAAACCAGCTATTGCCTGCTACATTGAAAGGACTGTATTCAGTAATTTACAGAATTTCAAAGAGCCTCAGTGCAAGGTATATTCCTCCATTCACAGAGAAGCAGCACACACTTCAGCATCTCAGCCGGGCATCCCACCCTGTAAACATTTATGACAAGAAAAGCATGTGCTACAGTGAGGAGTCTCATGCAAATCACTGAATTAATTTTCATAGTGGCTGTTTGCCCAGTCCTTTTTCAAAGCTCAGGCCCTGTTTCCATTCTGCAACATACAATTAAAATATCCCTAGCTACCATAAGTTCAACAAAGTATGCTGACGTATTCCTTCCTGTGTGTGCACAAAACATTTTTTAGTAGCTACTATGGAAACATCACCAAATTTTTACATTATCTTCACCCTTCTTGTTTTTACATTGTCTTCAACCTTGTTTCCCTGCTTTTACTATATGTGAAAATAATAAATATACATGATATACCAGTTATTAAGCCATCAAAAAATTACATGTCATTCCAGAAGGGAAAGGAGATGCTTGAGATTTAGGAGTCAAAACCTGGTCATTAACACAAGTGTCCTGATGGTAAAAAAGCTTCAGCCTCTCCACATTTCCCATTGAAACACAACTTTGGTGAGATGCTCCTGCATATTGTGATAAAACAGGCTGCTTCACATCTGAAATGACAGGAATATCTCCAGATTATTATTCCAGGTAAGGGTGTTGAGGAACATAAGAGTAAGCTAAAATGGAAGACACAGAATTAATCCAGTATGGGATAGACAATAAGGATTAAATTAATTGTCCAGGCCCTTGTCCTGGACCCATCCAAAATGAACCATTTCTGGGTTTTCAGTAATGTAGGCAAAACTGTATTCTGCTGCTCTAATTCAAAGAACTAAGGAAGTAATTTTGTCCTTTATATTAGCATCTGGAAAGCTTGATCTCTACCTGGGGGAAATGAGAATAGGTCAAAGCCATCAAAGATCGTTCTTCACATTTCTGGTCAACCAGGTATTTCTCAGTGAGGGTGATGGGACCCATTCTAGAGGGGCTTCATTTGACAGTGCTAGTGGGAGTCTGGGCTTTGCCAGAGCCTCTGTCAGGTCCATTCCACACATTCTGCGGCATCCAGTTCCTCAGGCCATCCTTGTCCCCTGCCTCCTGCTCCACCCTGGTCACACAGGTCCCTTCAACAGCTGCTTCCATCTCCCACCCTCAGCAAAGGACCACAGCTCTCCACAGTTCTCCACAAATAAGAGAAGCAGCTCTGTGGGAAGTGGATATTGTGGTGCCTGAGAAAGCTTCATACATGAAGGAAAGTGCAGCACCTAAAAAACCGGGTTTCAGAGGTTCTCTGATGGTCTCTGCCCTCTCACACATAGAAATACCATCCAGCATTTCCTATGTATGTTAAACACTGAGGTTTTCAAGCCATAATAAACCACCTCAATTAAAGGGCTGGCTTTTGCATGAAGTGAAAAAGATTCAGATTTTTGTGGGAAAAAAAAGTAATAAAGAACTTCTGGATATCAAATTTCTTTTTTTTTTGTTATAGGTATCTGCCCTTAAAAATCTATTATTTCTCACACAAACATAAAGAAAATTCACCCAGGGGTTTACATCCAGGAAATACTGTGCAGTTGAAGTCACATGCTCTTGCCTATAAAGGTCTGTCTCTGTGAGCTGGCAGATTCTTCAGCCCCCCAGTTTGCCTGTGAATCTGGGCACCATGGCATGCTCCAGCTGAGCTTTGTTTAAGCCATTTTTCCTTTAGGCTGCTGCCAACTAAAGTAATTCCTCTTTTTGGGATGCATTTTTAACCCTTCTTTTTTTTTTAGTTACATGGCACAATACTGAGACTAAAAGGTATTAAAGGGACTAGCAAACACTAATGTTATAGAATGAAAAACAAATGCTATAAACTTACATATTTACTGCTGAGATGTGAAAAGTTGCCGAGTTTTATTCTTCCCATGAGATGAGTGCTCTCCTAAGAAACAGAAAATACATTTGCATCAGATATACATGGAAAGACAAAAGGATCAATGAGTCCAGGAGGAGCACATGACTGGCCACTGTACAAACTAGCCAGTCTCCTTGTCAGATTTACTTAACAGCAAAAACTGTCTGCACAATAGATTTTTACCTGTCATCCTATTTTACAGATTATTTTCCCTGTGCTTTGCTCATAAATGGTGGGTTACTACCATGAAGTACTTTCCAAGGCAGTTCTCAAGGGGGTTGAAGAAGAGTAAGACTTAATTAATTTATAGCTATGATAAGAACATTGAATTATAAAAATAAGAAGATGGAACTATAAAATTCATTTTTGCCAGTAACACTGACATCAGCTCACTTCCTCCAAAGCAGAAGGATGAACATTTAAGAACTTCACACAGTTCTTAATATCCCTTCCGTGGAGAAGCCAGAGCCACATGGAAACAGGCAGAAGGACAGGAAAATCCAAATATCTCCTCCTGCCTCTCTTCTCACCTGCAGGAGACAATTTAATTCCTCATGCCCACATAAGAGGCAAGGAAGTGATATATTACTTTCCAGGAGAAGTGAATATGTATTAAAAAGCTAAAAATGATCAATGGCCTAGGGCTGCAAATTGTAATACAAATTAGGATTATAAAAAATTCACTGATTAGGCATTTAAATAATTAGCAGCCAAATTAAACAGTTGCACTCCTGAAGAGAATGGAAAAGACTTATCAATAGTTTTCAGACAGCTTTTCTTCACAGCAAAAAAAGACACTTTAATTCAGTGCAGCTTTTTGGAGATGAGTAGAAGCCTTGGTATCTGCTGAAAACCATTCAATAATATTGTGCTGAAATTGTGTTCACTTCCCAAGTGTTCAATTTTCAAAAAAAAAAAAAATTAAAATAATTTTGAAGTGTTGCTAAGATAGAGTTTCAGAAGCTCTTATCATGTCAAATTTCAGGTAGAGCAAAGGAAAGCATGAGTTTCTGCTACGGAAAAACTGGAACATCTTAACAAGACATATTTTTGGTAGGTGAAACATTTTTGTTAAATTTTTTGTACTGAAAAGCTAAAATAAAGTGAACCAGTTGAAATATTGCACAGCTTTATACTAGCAAAGGAATGAGATTTTCAAGAACTCTCCCTTATTTTTTAGTTTATTTTTATTTTTTCCTTCTGCATGTTTCTTCTTTCCTTGTTTAATATACAGAAACAGAAGATCAAATAGGGGACAGAAGAGAGAAATTGGTAGCTGTTTAAAAAAGGTGTAGGAGAAATTAATTGTGAAATATATTGCCATGCAGTAGATAATATCCAGTAGCAATAGCAAATATCAGTACTTTGTTATCAGTTCCACTCTCAGCTGGTTGTTCTGTAGACAGATTAACATGGAAGCACCCCAGGAAAATAACATTTCTAAGGGCAGGCTCCAGAGCAACGTAATTCCCTGGGTAACATCCCACTTATGCCAGTAGACCATGGATCAGAGTATGGAATGGGGGAGCAGCACTGGCTGAGAAGGCAGAGTGCTTGAGAGGTACCTGCTGACAGCGGTGGCTGGGCCAGAGGGGTGGCTCTGCCTTTCTGCAGATCCTGAGACCACGGCACACAGACACTCACACGCCCTATCCAGATTTCCTGGTGCTGTACCCTTTATCCCTGGAACAGTGAACTGCCCTCAGCTATTGCCTGGGGCAATGTCCCCCTACAGTATCAGTGTCTGGTGAGGGATGGATGCAGGCAGGCATGTTCTATGCTTTGCTGCTGGACTTCCAAGAGGGCAGGAGCACACAAGCCTTGTGAAACAAAAGCAAGTCATGGCTACTCCACGCTTGTAAATGTGCCTGAAGATATTTGTATCGTAAGGTCTATAATCATTAGTGCCAGCCAACAATTCAGTGATGAAGAGACAATGATTGTACACTGGAGAAGAAGTGGTCACAGGTGCTCTCTGTTCAAGAGATAAAAAGGTAGTGGATGGGTCTGGATACAGGGCTGCAGTACACCTGGAGATTGCCCAGAGAGGTGTCCAGATTGATTTTGGAATTCAATGTTTCAGCAGCTTGGTATTCTGCTAAATACCTAGCTGCAACTCAAAGGGCAAACCAAGAAGAATATTTGGGCTAGCTGCAAGTAAGAAGACATTTATACTGATCTCAAAAGAGCCTTAACTGACACAAATAAATTCCAAGATTGAAAAAACCCCGAAGTTGTCCCCAGACCATTACCCACCAAAACAAACGGACAAAGCTTTTCTTCCCATAAAGGAAATTAAAAACAAATGCTTGTGTTTAGTAGTTTGTTAGAACAGATGGCATTTTAATAGATTGAAGAAATCATTTCACACTGAATTTTTTGCTGATTGAGAAAATACAGGTGCAGTGGAGGTGCTCAACCAGTCCAGATACATTACCTGGATCCTTTGAAGGCTGTCACAGGATCACAGAATTGTTGAATTTGGAAAAGACCTTTAAGATCATTAAGCCCAACTGTCAGCCCAGAAACATCTCCATGTTCACCACTAAATCATGTCCTCAGCTGCCACATCCACACATTTTTTTTATCACTTCCAGAAATGATGACTCAACTGCTGCCCTAGAAAGGCTGTTCCAATGCTTAAAAACCCTTTTTGTGAAGAAGTTTCCCCCTAATATCCAAACTCCCTTGGTGCAACCTGAGGCTATCACTGAAAGAGAAAGGGTATTTCCACAAAATACACCAACAAGAGTGAAATTGCTGCACAACATCATCAGTGAAAAAAGGATTTTATTTTCTCTGGATTATGCATTTAGAGAAGGATGACACACAAACTCTAGTGTTACACACCAGGAAGGTGTCAGGAGAAACTTGAACCATCAGCTTCTCACTACATAGGTATTCAGTTTCTTGCCTAAGGTATTAGTTGATCTAATTTGATGTCTATTATGGCAATAACTTTCTGATAATGGGCTGAAAATTCATTGTACATTTGTCTACCTTGAAAAATAAGTGAGTGGCCTCAGAAAAATGGGAGATGAAGGGAACTGGGAGAAAGTATTTGGTGCAGTTAAAATGCTACCAACTGCACAGCTGCAGGTGTAACATGACCCCTTTACCTGTGGTCCTGCCATATGACACCTCTCCTGATGGAGGAGGAGTTGTGGGCTCAGACAGATTGGCAGAGGGCAGGGAGAAGCCAACCTCATATATATCATGCAATTCTAACAAACTGAAAGAAATTATGCACAGTTTGAGAAAGAGGCCTTAGGCAGAATATTTGGGAAATGAAATAAGACACTGACATGGAAGTTTTAGCTGACATGCAAAGCCTGCCTTTATTCTCCCTGTCATCCTCCACTGTTGCACCTGTTTGTTGATTGTTGTCTGAAATTTGATTGCAAAAACAAAGACAGAGGCATTGTGAAGTCTCTATTACTGTCATATACTGATGTGTAGTAAAACTGTCAGGTTCATTGCTGCAGGGGGCTGCAGATACCACAGCAAACAAATTTGTGGAATTAAAAGCCACTGAAAACTATGAAACACCAAGGATAAAAAGCCTGATCCAAGGCACAGGTTACTGGAAGACTATGGTGTAGGATATGTTATTGGACTCCTTTCCTGTTTGTGACACTTCCTTTCACCTCATGTGATCTACCCTCTAACAAATCCTCTGTGACTGGATTTGAGGCTGCAGAGATGCAGGTATAGCAGGCTCAGCTGATGGTTCCTTAGCCTCAATACTAAAGGAGATGTTGCTCTAGCAACTTGTACAATACAGCACTGGTCTTTCAGACACACAGCCTCCACGTGGCACCCTTTGAACACTTCTGCCACAGCCTTGGTGGCTGATCCACCCAAAGAAATTGTCAGTGTAGGCACTGGGCCTGATCCAATATGCCCTGTACACTTCCTCCTCTACAACACGATCATGATTCAAAAGGATAAAGACAAGGAAGATGTACAAGAAAGAAAAATGTACTCATGAATCATCATCCTTCAACATATTTGTTTTAAGTACATGGAAAGTAGACTTTGTACACAGCCACGGAGGGATCTTCCAAGCTGAAAGATAATCAGAAAAGAAATAGTGCTGCAGTGAAAATGCAGCATTTTCTTCCTAATTAAAATTTCACTTGTGCAGTATTTGTTTTGATTTTTCACTCACAAATACACTCATTTCCAACCATTAATGTTGCATTCTGATGCCAATCTATGTGAATAAGTAATGGGTACAATCAGCTGAAATTACAGATTGCAGTAAGATCAGTTTTGAAGCTCTGGAACAAACATTTCTTTGTCTCACCGTTGTGGAAGGATATTGTATTAATCTCACTGCAGTTTTCCCTTTCCTCCTGCCCCTCCACATTTGATTCAGAATCTGAATATATTATTCAGAATACACATACACTGCAGAACATCATGACATAAAAGAGAGTACAAACTGAGTACTATGACTACAGAAAGTCTTTGACCTGGGTAAAACCCTCTGACATTATTGGGAAAGCTAAAAGAAAAAGAATGTAGAAACAGTCTTTCACATAAAAAATAGGTTGTACTGCATCTCAGATTACACTGTCTGTAGGAAGAATTTTGATGTGCTGTTATTTCTCTGTAATATCTGCTGCTGAGACATTGATTGTAAGTGGCAATCAGATTTGGAGCAAAGAATTAAAGCAAGCTTTTCATAAAATCTGATTGCAGAAGCCTATCTTTTATAAAAGTATAAAACTACCTCTGCAGACACAGGAATCAAAATGTCTATTTTTACCACACTGAACTAAAAGAAAGATGCTGGAGAACAGCATTAAGTGGGAACCAGTGGCTGGGTTTGGTGTGGGCCAGTGGGTCCAGCACCTCCAACATGCTGCAGCTCCCCTGCCACACAGTTCACATTTTCTTGCAAACTGCTCCTCACCACTGCCAGCACGACAGAAGGATCTGAACAATCCACCGAGGCAGAGAGAGGGTGTGTGGAAGCGTTCAGGTGAAGAACAGAGAGGCAATTGCTGCTGAATGGGCAGCAAAGGGCACGAGGTGGCTCCCTCAGGAGCAGCATCTCAGAAAACTGAAGGCTGGAAAGTCAGCAAGTGCTTCCCAGGGGAAAACATCACCTGACCCTCTGCAGGCTGAATGTAAGAGACTGCTTTAAAAACCCTTATAGATATGCACAGCTCACAAACCAAATTAGAAACACAGAAGGAAACATATGCTATTTTGACTATAGTTTGACTATGTTTTTGACAACAGTTTTGTCCAAAAGTTTCAGCTGGAAGTGTGTGCAGTCAGAACTTTGTGGTGTGAGTAAACACAGAGTCCAGCCACAAGCTAAGAAAGTTTATTCTACAGTTCTTGTGAAGAAAGAAACACAACTTGAAGCTATTATACAATACAAGACCCAAAAAATAGAGTATCAGCAAATGAGAAAGAAAAGTAGAGGGAAGAAGGAACTTGATACCTGTTGGAGTCTGAGATACAGAGTGTGTGCCCTTGTTTTTAATACTTAGTTCTAGGATTCAAAAAAACAATGAATTTCATATAATATGAAATTCATGAGCATGTTTTCATGGTGATACATGAAAACAAAAGTTAAAGTTAGATAGAAAAAGCTAAAAGTGTGTGTAGATGAGAAAGTTTCTTAAATCACTGGGTGAAAAAGTAGTTTAGAGAACAGGAGACAAGATGGAGGATTTAGGGTGTTGTCTCTTGTCCTTCTTCTTTCTTCTTCATGTTCTTCTCCTAGGGGTTTTTTGGGTAGTAGTAAGTGATTGGATAGAAAATACCATAGTGCAGCACACAGGTGTTAGGTCACTGGGTCACTAAGAAAAATAATTTTGTTGGCATCTGTTAATTGGGTAAATGGACATATAAAAGACCTTGAAGAGGATCTTTGTGAGCCATTTTACCCCTTTCTATCATAGTGCACATAGCTCCTTGTACCTTGTAATGCTGATAAGAAAAGAATAAACAACTGAGACCGAACAAGAGAAAATAGCCTCCCTCTCGTCAATCTTCAGTTCAAAGGGGAAAAGAACCCAAATCCAAAAGTCCTAAATGAGACAGATACCTTTCACTGTTGCAAGGAGACCCTTTTCTATAAAGCAGCTTCTAGGTGTTCTACCTGCAGGGGTATAAACATAAGACCCTGAAAGTACATCTCAGACTAGGAAACGGAAATAATCAATATCATAGCCTACATTAGCAGGAGCACCTACTGTTACCACTCCAAAGCACACAGCGTGCCAGCAGACTGCTCTTCACTGACCTACACTGCTGATCTTGCAAGTCAGTGGAAGAGGGAAGGGAATTTCCACTGACAGAGTGACTCATCTAGTGACTCAGATTCTTCACCTGTTCCTAGAGACATCCACGTAGATCCTAGACACAACGATAAAAAGGTCAAAGTCCCAATGCATGTTAAGAAACCTCATGGCCCACTGTGGAGTCATACCCCCTCGCAGAGGTAAATTTCCCTGGGTTGGGTCCCTAATGAGGTAAACCTCAAAGATTTCTTACCTTCTTAAATGCCATGGCCCATGCTCAGATGTACTCGGCATAACAGGAAACAAGGTCTGCACCAGCTCCTGATTTGTCCCACTGTACCAAAACCACATCTATGGTTTGATAAGCGAGGCAGAACAATTAGTCTCAGGATTTGGAGGGTTATGGAAAGCAGTGATGAAGACATTGTCATCTGATCACACTTTCAGAACACCGCAGGATTTTCCACGTCCAAGGCCTAGCACAGCAGTGGGTTGTCTTGAGGTACATTCAGCTGAAGCAGCAGGTAACAGCTCTAAGGCCATCATTACTGCTGAACAGCAGCAGCTTTGGGAAGAGATGTGGAGCGTATGGAGAACACAAGTGTTCCTGCTTCCTCAGTTCATGCTGTCTCTGCACTGCACTGTCATCAGAGAGCACACCTCTGATCTTTTTCTCCACTGTGATTGCAATAAGTTAAAGGGGTTTCAAGCAGAACAGGCTCCCAAATATCCATCTTTGCCTGATACATTTTCCCATCTCTGTTCAGTAGCAACACTTAAGTTTTCTTTTTTTGTCCACAGTGGGTATCCAAGGAAGCCCTAATGCAGACATGGGTCACAAATCCTTCTCCAGCCACCTTCCAGTTCAGGTGCCTCACCAAAATCTGAGCTACCTCAGCTCTGATACATTTAACATCCTTTCAGCAAATTCAGAGCAGAACAGAATATCTCTGCAAGCCAAGTAAGTCATATCCTACCCTTTCACCTCAAAACAGCTCAGTCTGGTTATAAATCATGCTTTATTGAATCAGCTTATGCTTAGGTGCCAGGATTATACCTAGCATGTCTGAAATATTATGTCACCTGCACATCCCTATGAGACTTTACACTGAATATTGAACTGGTGTGCTTCCACTAAAAAGGCCTTTCATACATTTTACCTGCTCTAGAATAGTTATTCCAGGCAATGGCCATAAAAGAAAATTCTGAAGTCATCACTTGGGTATCAACGCTTCTATCACACATCATGCACCTGTATGGAGTAGCTTTACCCAAATTTTTATTCACCAACCTTTCTGTTACTAAGAAATCTTCATCCCTCAACATTTTTCATGAGTCCTAAAAAGGTGATCAATAACTTTGCTGTTTTTCAGCATAATACACAAGAAACCTTACAGAAAAATTTAGGTCTGTTTTCAAGACAGGCAATACTTTAACCTCATGGTTGATGGTATTGATCTCTTAGGCATCAATTAAAACCCTTCCTCTTATATTCTCAGGAAATATAACTATCACTGACAAGCTAAATGTGCAGTTCTGTGGGCTATGTTGAATGTCAAATATTTTTGGAGATATATTTTCTAGAATACTATATTGTAAAAGACCATTTATTCTCCCTAGGGACAGCTGCCCTAAATTTGCCTGTACCATCAGCATGAAATGGCTGCTGTAAGTCCTGCATTTGTACATAGTTTTGAGATGATTTTTATCCAAGCTGATTTTTCAAGTAAGATGCAAGAACAAGTACTTACCTTGCATCAGGAGTTGCAGTTCACTGACAAACATGCATGAAAAATTTACTGAGTCTAGTTTGGTTTTCTCTGGTTTTATACTTTACATCCATTCTACACCAGTTGTGCTGTAGAGCTCAAAGCCATTAGCAATTCCATCCTTCTAAGAAGAGTTATAAAAAATGACAATATTAAAGCTCCATTTTACCTAGTGTTCCTGATGATACTACCCCATTAAAAAACATTACTTTAATCCAGGCTTAATTGAAAACTGTTCTTTTCCTGTACTCTTTCACATTAATTGTAGGTATTTGAAATAATACTCTTGATTAAATTTAATTCAACTGTGCCTCTGAAAAAGAAGTCTTTCCTTTTTCTTTCATTTCATATTCACAACCTAATTTTAGAAGTCCTAAAATAGGATCCTTCAGGAGTCAATGAACTGCCACAGGTCAGCCCATTCCAGCCCAAGATAGATGTCCAAAGCAGACGGGATAAACAGCCCTCTGGACACATACATCCCTTTCAACTATGTGCAGCTGGCAGAGTTTTTTTAGGCAGATAAAATAAGGCAAGATCAAACTCACCATAAACTTTGATCAAGACCTATGCATAATACTGACACAGGGTCTTCCTAGGTTGCTTGCTTGAACAGTTTATAGGTCCTTATTTGTCCTGTATATATTTTGCAAACTTATACAATCTCAAAGTCTTCTGCTTGGAATAAAAAGCAAAAATAAAAAAAAAAAAGGAGAGTGTGCGTTTCTAATAAAGCTTAACTTTAATACATATCAAAGCAGAACTTCATTGTAGATATGCTTGACCTTAGGGAGGAGCTGCCATTTGATAGAGGATGATGTAGGGTTAAGACTGCCTGTAAAGTTAAGACTGCTCTTTAGATCTTTCTAATTTTAGTCTTTCTCATCACAACTTTTTTTAGTTTTGTTGGTATGTACAAAGACAGCCACAACACACACTTTCTAAGCAGCTGGACCAAGGAAAAAGAAGAACACATGTAAAGAAATTTTATGCAGGGCAATTGTTGTCAGTAGTTGTGAGAAAGCCCACGAGTCAGACAGCTCTTTTGTCTGTACCATGAGAAACATTTTCCTTTTTGCCTGAGTTTTAATGAAGCAAGCAAATCTGATTCAAATGGGGAGGCATACTAACATATCTGAAATACCTGTATGAGTGACAAATACCTCTGGAAGAAACAGATCCCTCTGCCAGAGTGTTTTAATTTAAAAATTAAAGTGACTCTAAAAACCTAGGCAAAAGCAGGACTTCAATTTCTGTGAAAGCATATTTAATTTTGAAACATATAATGATGTAAGAAGTCAAGAGAAAATGGCAGCTAGTTTAAATATGAATTGTATTAATGAGAAGAGGGCAAGAATCTTGTCCTCTAAGTGGTTATGACTCAATCCTTCTAATTATAGCATGCACACATCATAGTTCAGTAAAAAAGAACATCAAACATCCTCTGGATGGAAGATGCTCAGAAATTTGGTGAACCAGTAGCTGATTAACAGGCAACAAAGCTCATCTTGGTCTCTTCCCATTTACCCTGCTGTAAACCAAAACCAATTCTGCTACAGTCAGTGAAATCACTTTATCTTTGAAATGGCATGATGGGGGAAGAATCAATCAAAAACCATCCATTAATTAGTTTCTAATTTCATTCAGCTTTCAAAAGAAAGGTACAATTTTAAGAAAGCCTACATACTACTTCATACTCAAAGCCAAAAGTCTGTTCCCAAAGACATAATCTCAAGAAAAAATAGAATTATATATATTTATATATATATATATACCAAATCATGAAGCTTTGAAGTGCAGCCTCTAAAGTGCCAAAGTGTAGTTACCCTTTACCCAGCATCAGTGGGACAGAATGATATGTCCTGTGATGGAGCAGGCTCTTCCTGTCCTCCTCTAGCCCCTAACTCTTTGTCAAGAGGCCACAGGGACTTTGCATGACTCTGGTTTGCTGCAAGAGCTGCTAGAGATGCCCTGTGGATCTTTAGGATTGCACAAAAGCTTCTGGGAGTTGCAGAGAAGGCTCGAGAGTCCAAACTGTGCCTCTCCAACAAGCAGAGGATAGTTCAGATCAAGTGCTGCATTTCAGAGGACTTCCCAAGGATTTGGACAAAAGGAGAGAGCAGCTATTGGTCAGCCTCAAAAATGTCAGTAGGAGAAACAGATGGCCAAAAAGCTTAAAAACAAAAAAGAGTATTACACCTAAAAGGTAGAAAGTAAGAGACTGTCTTTCTGGGAGGACTTTTGCAGATGAGGTGGGACATGACTGAGAAAGCACTGGGTGAAGCTCTGCCATGAGAGATTTAGAGGTTTTGATTGATTAGTCAGAATTCTGTTCTGCCTCAGTCTTATTTTGTGTCAGTCCATTTTTTTTGCAGAACCTATAACTGCATCCATCTCTTTGCTTTGTGAATTTTCTTTCTTTTGTGCATGCTATCAGTAACCTTTGCTCCTTTACACTTTATTACCACAGATTTTTGTGGTAATAGAAGAGTAAAAGAATAAAAGAAGAAAAAAAGAATAAAAGAAGAAAAAAAGAATAAAAGAACCTGAAGCACAGGACAGAGGGATTTGCAATGAGTGTAGGATTTTGAATGCAAAGGGTGACTGAGTACGGGGCTGACTGAACACTGCTGACACCAGCTCCAACAGAATCCTGATTACAAACAGCACTGACTCCCAAACCTCTTGATCCCTGGGATATTAGCTCAGTTGGTTGGAGCACGGTAATAGTAACACCAAGGTTGTCAGTTTGATCTTTGACACTTAAGTTCACCTGAGGGTCCCTTCCAACTCAGAACATTCTGTGATTCTGATATTACCAGTCTTCAAACTTCTTTGTACAGCGAGATCTAGCTGATAAATACCACGATCACTGTTACTCCTGAACATTCTTAGCTATATCACTTACCATCAATGATTTAAATAAAGTATTTTCCTTTCTCACTCCCAAATACTGGCAGCACACACAGTACAGCTCAACTGCAGCTCTACAGGATCCCAGTCTGGGGATTTGCTCTGTAGAGGAATTGTTTGCAGTGACTTTGACCTGACAGGAACTGATGATGGGTTTGCTGTTGGAAATGACATCCCAAAAACTGCTCTTCCCTGAGCTCAGACAGGGAAACAGACATACACACAAAGAAAATACTCACCAGTCTCAGAAGAAGCTGTCTTCACAGAAAGAAGTTTGACTCCTTCTTTATCTGACTGGGCCCTGTTGAAGTTAGAAAACATTTAAGCAGCCAGCACACATGTTGGTCATCCAAACAAAACTAAGATATGGTCCTGAGGAGGCAGCATCTACTCCAGTCTAAACTGGCAGGCTATAAATGGGCTTTGCATGGGGTCGAGTGGTGGAAAATACCATATACCAACATTTCTGAAAATACCTTTATCTTAAAATATGTAATAAATCAAGTTTCATGACTCTGGGTTTAGTCTAGGACTTCACAGAAGAGGTACATCTGGGGGAAAAGGAGCAATATTTTTTTGTCAATGCAAGCCTTTTAGCCATGTTGAATTGCGAAGAAGGACCACTTCAGATGTCCAGGGAGTCAGGGCTACCAAGTAAATCAGCAGCTTAAATGTTGCTTTTGGTCATTCAAGCAGCCACTGCCAGGCTCAATGGTCTTTAGTTTGCATCTTCCAATGGATCTTTCTCAGTTTCCCTCTCCTTATACTTCTTATGCCACTAATATTTCAACTGAGCCTGTGCAAATGGTGCAGTGGAAACAAGATGGGACAGAGGAACGTGATATAATGGGGGACAAGAGAAATATATATATAAATAATCCAGAATAAAAAGGACACACGTTAAAAAGAGAGAAAACATGAACAAAATAAGGGGAGTGGGAAAACAGGCAGGGGTAGAGGAGAGGAATCAATGGGGCTAAAAGTGGGGAAAAAAAAGGAAAAAAAGAAAAAGAGACTGGGCCAATGAGTTCTGTGGCACAGCATAAGCTGTTCAAAAGGATCAACTGCAAAACAGTTGAGAGTCACCACATTTCTATCCATACTGAAACAGCTGCTTATCATGCATACATGTCTACAATAACTGCAAGTGAAGCACTTCCAACAGGGTAATTCTCCTTGGGGTGGCAACTGATTACTGTGTTTAAACTGAGAAAGAGCAAAGAAAACCCTATGCAAAATCTGCTACATTTACAAGTGCCCTGTGATAGATTTCAAAGCCATGAGAAGGATTCAACCTACTGTTCAGCGCCATTCTCTTGTCTCTCTGGAAAAAGAAAAAAAACTAATATCATTTTGATTGCTGGAATTCAAACCCCAAACATTTAGACATGGCTATTGCAGTTGCTGGCAGAAAGCTCAGCTGTAATTTTGCAGTGTTGCATTAAGTTCATAAACACAATCAACCAGCTTGAATAGTAATTGTTATTTTTCTGGTCATCTATGGAAGTGAACCGATGCTGCTTTTACTGACACTTCTGGAAACCAGGGAGAATGACATTTGACTTGTCCAACAGCACGACAGAAGCACATTTTTCCCTGCAGCTCCCAAATCCCTGGGTAGCTGGCACAGAGGATGCAAGCATGCGATGGTTCTCGAGTAAACAGCAAGTGAGCTAAAAGATACAGGGTAAGAGGACTGAGGGAACAAGGGCATTCCTGAGGCTGTACCCCCTGGGGATTTTGTCATCCCCATTGATGAGGAACAGGTTTGTCCCCAAAATGAATCACATGCTGAATGTGTTTTAGGCTTATGTGCAAGTGTGGGCAGATGGAAGGGGCCAGGGGGTTACATCAGAGACATGGAGTTAACTCCATGGCACCAAGCACAGGGGAAGTGCACTGGATAGATCTGGGCAAATCCTACAGGAAGCACTACAGATGCACTACTCTATCTTCCAAATGAATTTGCTAATACAGTACTTGATGATATTTGTGCATAGGGGAGGCTGGTAAGGAAATGTTCTTCACCTAGTGTCTTTATCTCTTGACTCTGAATATTTGGTAATTTCCTAAGTAAGGATCACATCTTCCTCTGCTTATCTGGGTTTGTTTTTCCATGTCATTGGCTAAATTAGTTGTGACACACTGTTTGTCTTGGTTTACAGCTTTAACACCCTGTTGTGATTTTGTATTTCCAAGGCCTGGCGATTTCACAGTTCTGCACAAGTCTCCTAACTCATGCCAGCTCACAGGGACAGAAAAACCACAGTCTGGATTCAGATCTGGGTTTTCACTTAATGGAAATTTACACTTACCTGGCCTACTTGGGAAAACCTGAAACATTTGTCAAATGGACTTCATTACAACCCTTTATCTTAAGTATTTAGTGGACAGCAGAGAAACAGATACTGACTTTACCTGCTCTATCAAAATGACTGTTTCTGAAAATACTGTTTGCCCAGGGATTTTGTTCCATGTGCAATATATTGTACCTGGAAAATTTTACTTGTGCATCATGTGCATGTGTGTCTGCATGTATGTATCAGGTATATCCCAAAAGAAAATACTGATATTATTTTGCCTGTATCTAGAAGAAAGATAAAATAAATAAAGTGATTTTGTTTAATATCTTCGAATTTAGTTTTCACTGTCTATTTCTATCTGATCGATTGTGTTAGCACAGGTGTTTGTTAGCTCTTTGTAGCTGCAAAAGCATGAACAAAAAGTTTTACAGCATTATATATTCTCAAAAAATAATTTTTACTCACTCTGGTCTTCCTACTGATTTTGAAAATGAAGTGTTAGTTACCCACTTTAGGCAAAACACAAAAAACTTTCCCATCAGACTACCAAAACAGTGATGGTTAAGGTAATCCAAAAGAGATCTTATAATAATAAAAAGCACATTGATTTTCCCCCCCTGAAGAGAAAGCAAACCAAATACCTGGAGTTTTCTTCTGGCACATTTTGTACAAAGCCACCAGTGAAAAGACAGAGAGGGTAATGACTATCAGGGTGATGACAACTGGCAAGATAACATCTGCAAAAGAGGGAGAACATAATTTTGGCTGCTGCCTCTGACTTACATTGCCTCTGTGTATAGGTACTTGCACACACTAAGATGAGAGGCACTTCCAGCCCACTTCACCAAACATTACCCATTTCTCTGGAGACAGTATCCTACTGCTCCTGTTATTCTTCCTGCAACCACTGAACCTCGAGCTTGGATGCTTTGTGGAGGGAAGACTTAGGCTTCTTCCTTCTCCCACCCTTACTCATTCCCTGACACTCATGCTCCCCTGTGGAACTGGTTTCACCCATTATTCAGTAAAAGAATAAGGTTTCAGCACCTGCTCCACTGGGCCCACCATAATTTTGATGAAAGCACTTATCATTCAACCCCAGTGTTGACGACCTCCAGAGGTTTTGTGAGAAAGTCGTGTTCTAGAAATAAATTCCTTAAACATGCAATTTATTTTTTCCTCTTTTTTCAGAAAAAAAAAAAGAAAAAAGAAAAAAAAAACCTGTCTGGAGCTCAGCAACTGAAGCAATTATTTTGCTTTTAACATTGTGCACCCAGAAAGACACCAAGGAATTACATAATTCAGTAACATTCCCCACAGCACTTACAACCAGGGATAGAAAATGCAAGATCTCCTTTTAAAATGAGGACATTTCTTTCCTTTTATTATTTCCCACCATCTGCCGTTTCCTGACAGGTGTTTCCCAGCCAAGAAGCAAAAAAAGGAAAGAATTATGTAATGAAGAGAAGCTTTCCCTGGGAAATATATAAGCTCAGCTTCTCCCTTTTTATCGTTTCTCTGGCAGCAACTGGCCACACTCAAATTCAGCAGGCACTCTCCCACCTGCTGGCCTAAGCCCTGTGTCAGGGGGAGGCTGAATTCAGTGGCTCTTGATGCAATTAATATTTAATATTCATACAGATGCGTTCTTGCATCTATGGAACTAGAGTGAGACTGTTTACAGTGGGAAAATATCAAACATATTTTGCTTAGTCAGTACTCTGGGTAGGAAACAGCAAAGCTGCAGCAACATTCTTGCCCTAGAGATGCATAATATTAAAATGAAAGATTAAGTAGCATGCATCACACAAATATCAAGTGCTTAAAGAGTTTGCAGAAGACAGCCTCCTAGACCTTCTCTCCCATGACAATATGAATAATACATTCATATCATACATTCAAAACAATACATTCATATAAGATGTACAACAGGGATATGAGCAACTTTTTCGTATGTTCCCTTGTGTCTTCTCTCCCAGGGGATGACTCTCTTATTTTTGGCTTTCTATTCAATTTCACCACTTTGAATCAGCCCATGGGAATAATTGTGCTGCTCTACAGTGAAAGTGGTGTCAACTTATTGAGCTCTGTTTCTATTTGAGATAAGTTTTATAACCAGCATTTAAATATGGTTTGTAACAGGGCCTAAGCCTGGTAAGGCTCGAAATAAAAGAGCCGGTTTCATTTGTCTGCTACTCCAATCACTCATCAAAAACAAAACTTATCAACTGAAAACTCAAAAGCCAGACAATTAAGTAAAAATACTCACTAGAATAGTTGATATCACTCTCTGTCTGAGTCTGGTTTCCAGAACTGCTTTTAGGACTTTCAGAAGTTGGCTCTGCAAAAGAAATAGCGCCTTTCTGGTAAACATGTATTGCCAGAATTCCCAAAACAACTCCTTCTGAAAAATTACCCTCCCAAAACAACTACTGTGTCCCCAGTTCTGGAGCTTCACTTGGTGCTTCACATTTATATTTCTCCTCAATAATACTTAGATAATTTGGCAAGAGGCATGGAAATATTTATCTAGCATGGCCTAAAGAAACACGCAGTTTGTATGGGTGCAGATTTCCCTAGGATCATCTGCTTGTCCACTTACAGGTTATGAGCTACAAACTTTTTCACTTTTAAGATGTTATGGTACTGTTCAAAATGGCAAGAGAGCTTTTAACAAGTAAATAAGCAGGAAAGAGAGTGAAAATTAGACCTGTCTCCAAGAGGAGAAAGACCAAAATATTTCACTATTTAAAAAAAAAAAAAAGTGCTAATAGTAGATGAAGAAGTCTGAAGAGGTGCAATATTAGTAGACAGCAAGTCTCTTGAGTGTTGTTATAGAGGAATGTGCCTGCTCTCTGCCACATTTTGAGAGAGCAATGTTGTGAGTCTCTGGGACATTTTTTAGGGCTGGGTTTAAAAGAATGCGTTTGTACCTTTGGGTGCTAACCTGAATTTGAGTCGGGTATCAGCAATGCAAAATATTTATTACCTTGCTACATACAGACGATAAAAAAAACAATCACTAAACTTCCAGAGAGAAAACAGAAAATGCAAATGCTGGCATATCCCTAGGTACATTATATAGCACATGGGATTGCATTCCATATTGGATGGGGGCTTGAGTAGACAAGTGCTCACTGCCACTGAAGGAGCCGACTGGCTGGACAGATGTGATGCAAGGTCAAGCATTTCTATTGCATGGCTAAACATCAGAAATGGCTCTCAAACAAAGGCATCTGGGGAAGGTGATCTATTAAAAAAGAGTCCTAGCAGAGGTTTTAGCTCCATATATAAATAGTGAGAACATGGTGGCAGCCACTGAGGTTTTGTTGGTCAGGTACGTATTCACAATCCACACTTGTAGGATTGCACGGTTCCTCTTTGAAAGAACAGAAGAGGACTCAAATTGTAGGGTGGAAGGTATGAAATTCATGAAAACAAATAGCCTATGGCCATTTTGAGGTCTAGAATACAGTTTTGTTCTACTAAGTCTCTGAAAGACATTTTTACAGAAAAGTCCCTATTTTTACAGAAACTTTTATATAGGCAGTACTTGTAACTCTAATCCATGGACTTACAGTAATAAACAAGGCTTGTTTGTCTCAACCACGTAGGAATTCCTCTTCCTTGCAAAACTGATTTTAAACTCATACCCACTATTAAAGAATGTTTTGTGTTTGTTTTCTTTACCCCTTCCCCACTCTTCTACCTTTGTCTGGACACAGACAGAAGCCTCCTAGGGAAAAATCACTGACTAACTGCTTGTGTGGTGCCTAAACAATACAGTCATAGCTGAGACATTCTGATGCTATGGTGCAGGAAACAATGATTGTCCAAGACTTTATCTCTGAAAAATCACTGTTTCTTTAAAGCAGAAGTTCTCTTTCCCTTGGTGCCTGTCTGCTGAGGGGTGATAATGTAAGGCTGGAAACTGAGCCATCATCAAGTGACTAAAATAATTCCTGTGCATTCTTAATTCCATGTGATTGCTTCAGATTTCCCAAGGGAATACTACTGCCTTTTTGTTACCTTATCTGGTATACTACATGATATACAGGGCAAGCAGGCAATTATCACGGCAATGAGTTACCCTGGATACTGACTGGAAATGTCAACAGAAACAAACTGCACTGAAAAACAGGAATGTGTATCCCTGCATTTGTGCAGGAGATGTGTGCCTCTCCTCAGGAGAAAAACTGAGGACTGAAATCCACTGTTCTGTTGGTTTTTTTTCCCCTGGTTACCTGTTAATTGACCTAGATGTGAGTAATGAAGGAAAGAAAAACCCATGGGTTAGCATTTCAATTACTTGTGACCATCAGGAAGAAATATGACAGCTGAAAAGAAACATGACTGAATAAAACAGGGTAAGGAACTAAGCTCATTTCCCTGCTTCTTTCATTAAAGTTTCTCACAAGTCGGCCCCTCCTGTCTAGTTTGTCTGGATCTGGAAGGTATTTTCCAGTTATGGAATAATCTGGGATCAGAATAAAATGAATTGGAGAAATACATCCATCATGGTAACAGGAGGGCCAAGATTTTGCAGGCAGCAGTAGCAAGAATTGCAGAGATCAGTACAGAAGAGGCTGTTTCCTGATGAGCCCCAAGAAAGGAAAATAGGACAATACAGGTTCATTAGCACAGGAAACTTGCCCTACTCTGGGACTTGCTGCTTCTCACTACAGGACAAGGAATGAGAGCCACTGACAAGAGCAAGCTCCTTGGTAAACACTCTATTTATAACTGCTTCCCATTGCATCACATAATATGCCAGGCCTGATTTTTTTTCTGTGGTCCCACCCTGTTTTCCTTCCAGTATCTGCTATTCCAGCATGATATTCAGCTGAAATCACAGCAAAATTACTCAGTGCTACAAGCTGAACGTGACTCTTCCTCTGCTCTACTCTGTTTCAGGTACATTATTCCCTTAGATCCTTCTTGCTTCCTGAATATTTCCCTTCCTCAAGCTGTCCCTTCTTCCACCCCACACCAGCCTTTTTCATCAGTGTGCATAGAGCAACCTCTTCTATTGCTCTTACTTGCTGAGTTTGTTGGAGAGCTCATGGGAAGGCCTGCAATAAAACAGAAAAAATAGGCTTGTTAGTATCTGTTTTACATGTCCAGTCTACCCATCATACAAACTGGCAACTCTAGGAACATGCTCAGTACCCCACAACAAATTCTGCCCCAGAAGTGACATGCTAACACTGTTCCCAAGCCCAGAAAGTCTGAGCTGTAAGTCTCCAGCCATCCCTTATAGATGGGAGCAGAATCCAAAGCCCAACCTATGCTAGGTTGTTATTCTGCTCAAGAGAAGAAAATCCTGAGTTAATTGATACATTCCTTAAAAACTCCTCCTCCCAAAACCAAAAAAGTGCCTGGGAGTGAGTAGTTGACATTTAAGTGACAAGTAAGTGTTTTAATAAAAGAAACTAATTGAGACACATCTTCAAGAGTCACAAAACCCTTTAAAAAGAAATCTTTGTTTATTATCTAGGTGCTTTTGGCTAGCAGACTGCCAAGCAGCAGAAGCAAGAGACATTGGTAATGAGGAAGAAATTGACCTTACAGAGCACTGAGCACAATGCTTACTGGCTCTACTGTCAGCTTCCCCCAGCTACTTCACAAGTTTTTGGTGCTCAACATTATTTTTCTTTTGTTAGCATGCTGCTGTTCCTGCCTGTCTAGACTGCAGCAGGCTTGGAAATTAGAATGGCTGTGTCCTCTGTGGCCCAGCTGTGCCAGGGTGGGGGATCACAGAGGCAACATCATGAAGGCAGCTGTAACTCCAGGCAGGCATTAAGCCTGTCCTCTGACTGCCCAGGTTGCAGTGCTCCTCTAAACCAGTTTCCCCAGGGAGCACAAATCCACTCTTACACCCTCACTACGCCTTCTGTGCTGCGGACTGCTGCTCTGCACAAAGACAGCCCCTACCAGCAGGGCTGTAACACACATTGTTTTATTGCTGTGAACATACTCTTTGAAAACCAGAATGCTGCTCTTGTTTTTCCTTCTCTCTACACACAATTAAAACCATGGATCACTTCAGCCGCTGGGGTGCAAATAACTGCTGCTGCTAATGGTACATGTGACAAAACTTAAACTGCATTTTAATCACAAACGATCATGGGAAGTATGTTTAGGTTGAAAAGCTAAGTACTTAGAAGTCAACAGTAAGAGCTTTTCTTGAACATATTAAATATTTGCAATGCTAAGTATCCTGAATGTATACAGTTACCTCACCCTAGCTTCCTAGAATGCAGAGGAGACTGTTTTCCTAAGCTTTTTGTCGTCTCATCAATCCATCTGCAAACAGCAATATCACTGTGCTCTAAGAAGATCTCTGTGATGAATCATTAGGCAATATTTATAGCATGTTTGGGCAACATTACCAACAAAACCAAGCAAAAGCCTTCAGGAAGTTAATAAATCACTTGTGAAAGGAACACACAGTACAGGATGCAGGAGGACACACACCTGGCATTAAGGGAATATCCAAATATGATATGATTGCTTATTACCAGAATACTGCCTTTCCTTCAGTCTATAAGGTGTGGGATGCCATGATAAAAATACCATGCGATCACACATCATGTGGGCAACTAACAACTGTAAGCCCCTGTGTGTTCATATTCTCGAAGGAAGGCAGAAGACTTTGTCAAGTCTTACAAACAGGTCACTTGGAACCTTGTTTCTCAAGTCTGCAGAACTTTCCTTTGAAATAGCTCCAACGTTGTAACATAATAGAACATTTTCCTTTACATTCACTCTTACAAACAAGGAGAAGCATCTTGGCACAAATTAAAACAAATAAATAAATAGAAAAAGCATATGAAGCCCAAAACTGATACCCAAGCTCATCTCAAAGACTTAACAGAATTTCAAACCTGAATGCAGGTGACATAAGTGCAGGTGACATAAGCCTCCTCATGTCTTCCTTCCTCCAGGAAGGGCTGGGGGACATGTCCTTCAGTACCCACTGGCACAACCAAAAGCCATGCAGCTGTCCTGGCCAGACCTTGCCTCTTCAATAAACCCAGGCAGGAGAAATTATCCCAGGAAGGAAACATGAGAGCATCCGACTGCCCTCTCTTTCTGGGCCTCTGTTATTTTTTAACAACTGCACACACCTATACTCAATAAAACTAGCAGCATCTCTTTCCAGAAAGTATCTCACCCAGGTTTTGCTAGAGCACGAAAAATTGAATTGGAAAAATCTCATGCCTTCCTCTCTCTCCCTGTCTCCAGTATGCAAGCAAGGCACTGGTTCACCCTCTGTTCAGAGATCACTCAGTCCTGCCACACAAACAAAGCTGTGCCAACTGGAGTGATTCAGTAGGTGTTTTCAGTCTGCACTTTCTAAATAACCATCCAGTGCTCTTTTTGGTGCGGGCTCACATGCTGCTGTTCTCCAGAAAGAGAAGGACAGAAGGAAAAGCAGCATTTCACTTGGAAACAGTTCCTGTAGCTGCCTGTACAGAGCTTGCTACCTCCTTTCGGGCTGCAAGCAAGATGCTCTGCATAAATAATCTGGGAAGATTTCCAGATTCATCATGAGAAGTGAGGTGTGCAACCCTGGCTGTGCTGGGTTCCTCCTTGTGCAGTAAGGAGGACAAGGATAAAAAATTTGGCACATGACCATGGTTTGATTTGAAATTACCTGCCTGAGTCAGTTCAGCACTGGTGAGAAGCTCGACAGATGGAGAAAGAGACCAATAACTAAACTCTCCCCACTCTGTTCTCCAATAGCTGCTACCTAAGCAGCCTGGATACCCTGCAGTTTGCTACTTCTGTTTTTTGGAGTGCGGCCACATCCAACTGTGTTCACTGGCAAAACAAATGAATACATTTGGCTGATTACTCAGAGGGGATATACCACAATATAAATCAAGGCAAAATTAAAAACTTGAAAAAGCCTTTCTTGCCTTGACCACACCATAGATCTGTAACAGTATTAACTGAGGCTTTGCTATGTTTTCCATCTCCCAGAAACTTTTGTTTTTGTGTCTCTCTCTTTGTGAAGGAGCTGAAGATACAGTGGGTAATTTTTATCTAATATCACTATCCAGAGTTCCTGCAGTTTGTGTACAGAAAGAGTCAAACCCTACTAGTCTTACTCATAAAATTTTTTCTTAGGGAGATGCCTCCTGTGAATCAAGTGAGTAGGATTTATAATTGGAGGAGTGCAATAAAGATATCAATAGATGAAGCAGGTTGATTCATCTGACAGTTTATTATAATAGATCATTTAATCTTACCACCCTGCTGGGTGAACTTAAGCTCATACTGCTTTATGGATTTTTTCGTTGTTTAGATCACAGAATAAAAAGCCACAATACTTGCAATTTCTCAGATGTATTTAGACTCTAATCTCCAATTTTTCATTAATTAAACAAAAGGAGAAAATTAAATATTAGCAAGCAGCCCTCTGTGGAGGTGGAGAAGGAGTGGGAGGTACGTTCTACATGACAACCAAAGTTAAAGAAGTGCATGTGTCAATGGCACGCATGCAGGTTGCTCTCTTTGCTAATAACAGTCCTCACTGCCTCCTCGAGCCTGGGTGAGCACTACGCAGCACCTCCTCTGTGGCTGGTGCTTTCAATCGCCTTTAATACAGCAATACTGTTCTCTGATGTTCCTACACGTTCTTTCCCAGGCTCCCCCACTCATCCCAGTCGCTCTCCAGCTCTCTGTAGCACTCCTCCCACACCCTGATCTTTTGATATGGCTGATTGGAAATTTCTCTGCAAAATGTGCTTTCTTCTTTTTCTGCATCAAGAAAGGAAACTTTCACCAAAATGGCATTTTTTTTTAAAAATGGAAAATGGTCTCAAAACTAAACATATTTAGCCAGCTGGATTATTTTGGTTGGGCATACCAAATAGAAATGTTCTGGTTTGGATCCATTGCACATTAATTTGTCTTCCTCTGAGCTCCCACGCAGAAGACGTGGCTCAGATACCTCCAGCTTGCAAGCTATTCTATTCCCCAAGGGCTGCAGCCTTGGCACACACCAGTCCCTGCTCTGGTGAACAAAAGGCATCCAGCCCTTGAATGTGAAATTCTGGAGACCTAGAAATAAATAATCTAATGGCAGTGAGAGAGATGGCATTTCCTCTAGTCTCAGCACAAGATGAAACAACCAGCTTTTCACTTGCATTGCCTTAAAGTTATTAGAGTGCAGCATATGGCTTCCCCTGGGCCTGAGCAATTGCACAGAGGAGAATAAATCTATTTTGAAGGAACCAAGACATTTTTACTTTAAGCCTTTAACACATACAGAGAATAAGGGAGCAAGGGTGGTCTAAGGCTTAACCATTTGGGATAAGCTACCTACCACATCAGGGTGAGTAAGGGGATTTCTTGCATATATAAGCTTCAAGAAAGAAGCAAGGAGCTGGTGCTGTGAGGAGACAGGAAAGGTGATAGTGTGGAAATCCTTGTGCAAGCAGAAGTGATTTTGAAATGGCTGTTTTATGGGAACTCGGAGCACTGGCTGTGCCAATGATACCTAGACTGCCTCTGGATAGATGGCTTCTTTCTGCCTCAGCCAGGCAATTATAGTTCTGGCATCTTGGGCAGTCTCTGAGCTCAAGGAGATTTATTGGTTTTACAGCAGAGTAAGGTGAGTAAGATGATGACTTTTGCAAACAGACCCCAGGAAGGTTTTAAAACTTTCTTGACAAATTTTAAGTGTAAAATGTAATTGCATACACAGCATAGTAGGTAATTCAATACACATGATGCATAGTCAGTTTAATATTAACCTGGAGAATTTACCTGAGTGAGGGACCTTTTAATTAAAAATGTTGTAATTTACTGTTTTATTGCAGTACAGCAATGGTGAGGTTTCTGTACTATGCCTATATTTGCCAAAAGACATGAAACCTAACAGGAAAGTCAAGTAACCACAGGTCATAGTATATACATTATGGGGAACGGGCTCATTGAAATAATTGCGAAGACTCCTCTCTGAATCAGTGGCCTTGAGTTGACTTTAACTTCATTAAAATGCTTATAATCTTTTTGCATGCTTCTAAGCATTCCAGTGCATAGTGAGCATATGATATTGCTCCGCTTTTATATCCAATCCTATCCTTTATGAGGAAAAAAAATCACAGTACACACATGTGCTTATCTCCCACAAACACAATCCAGGAGTTGCAAAAAGCGTCTTGTATCCCTTGGGGGATATTAAACATTACTATTAATAATAGGGATATGCAAACAAAGACAGTGTCCTTGTTGGATTTATACACATGTAGCTAAGAGTAAGTACTAAATGAGATGAAGGCCCAAGAGACCTTAAGAAAACCTGAATAAGTGATTCTTCAAAACCAAGGAAAGTTAAGCCAGATAGAAGCATAACAAATGATCACTCATATGACCTGGCATCTGCATTCACCACAGTGTTTCTCAGTGAATGCATACACCAAAACACACCCAGAAAAACAATAAAACTGGACTGGAGTTGGGAAGAATCAATATGGTTTTGCCTCTGTGCACACGACCATGTTGTACTTTGAACAACATCGTTTAATTGGTAATGTGCATTAAATTCTCTCCAGATTTTTTAATAACTGTAAAAATTATAGCTGTTTTCTCCTTTGTCTCCTCTGCCTTGCAGCCAGGGAATTTATCTTGATGACCTCCTCTGACAGTCAATGCTACACAATGACCTCACACAGCATATATGAAGATTACTATTATCACTTGTAATTTATATCCTCCTGTAATGACACCACGTATCTCAACTGAATGTTTGGAAGTTCACCCATCACTCAACGTAACTTCAGGGCTAGATGACATGGACACAGTGTACCCTGCGTGAATAAGGAGATGTGGTCCTCATCCCAGAACAATGCACAACAAATGAAGAAAAGACTCAAAATCCTCAGAAGGCTTGCATCCTTTTAATTGCTTCTATAGAGAAAGAAAGTGTATGTTTTCAAGGCTTACCTGAGGTTCCAGAAGCAGAAGTGTTTCTTTCTGGAGAGACTGTAGAAAAAAAAGACCGTCCTGTAGTAGATGCAGCGTCCGAATTTTTGTTTTCTGCCGACTGTGTTCCACTTGCTTGTGTAGCTGGAAATTAGAGAGATGTTCAGGTAAGAGGCACCTGCAGAAGCATTGTCTTAGATCCTGGACCATCCCTCAGACAAACGCTCTGACCATCACAAAAAAGACTTAAGGTAAGAAAGCATTACATATTCTGGTAGCTGCCTCTCAAGGAACAAACCAACCCTATGGAATTGTTACTACTGGCATAGCTGAGGCACCTTCAAAACATGGTAGCAAGACAAACAGCCTCCTATCTGTGCCAGAAGACAACCCAGAGCTCTGAATTGGGACCCTAGAATAGTTAGACAGTGTTGCACCAAGAGCAACATGAGCAGAAGAGAGAAGCTCAACTTACTGCCCTCTATATTTTCAATTAATCAATCAATCAATCAATCAAGCTTCAGTTATAGCTGTCACATAATGTGATACTGTATAAAGTTTAAGGATTGCAATTAAACAAAGAGTTAATTATTTAATTCTGTGCTGTTAAGGCCTAGGAAATGGCATATCCCTGAATATTAATGTATGAGAAATAAATTGTCTTATTTCTCCTCTCAGTCAACAGGAGGTCAAGGCCATTGTGTCACAAGATTTGCAGCCTAAGGTGAGGCCAAGACAATGGTGCAGGGCATGGCCTGAGCCCGTGGAACTGAAGGTCACTGAATGACCAGAAATAATTTAGAGATATTCCAGCACCGCCCGTAATTCCTACATCAAACATCAGAAGAACTAGAGACAAGAGAGTGCCTACTGAATAAAACATAGAGGTGGCCCAAGAGTAACCTCAAACTTCCTGTCTGATATAAATCAGAGCAGCAATCGAGCTGTAAACTGTTTTCAGTGCCTCTTCATATGAATTTTGAACACTGGAACTAAAACAACTTGAATACATGTTTCAATCAGCGAGCAACATCACACACATACAATATGTAAATCTTGAGGAATGCTTCAACACACACTTCATCTAGAAATTGATTACCAGTTTGGTCCCCCAAAGAATCCAAAGCTCCCTATTCTACAACTACACACCTTTAACTTGGCCTTTCCCTTCCCCTCTTGTTCATTAAGTGCAGTAGCTCAGAAAGGCAAGCTTCAAAAATCAGTAAGCTAAGAAAGAGTGAGCTGAAGCCACTGGAGTCAGGGGGTTCATATAATTTTGGAAACTGCGAGAAGCTGGGCAGCCAGGGACAGTGTCTTTTAAGTTTGAGGCATGAAAATTATGCAAATCAACTTAAATGCCTAAAACTTTGACTAGGATTCTAGTGATGAGAAGCAAAATTTCATGTCAGCTTCCTTCAGAAACTTCAGCATTGTACCCCTTCAATATACAAGACTAACCTGCAGTAGGGAGGAGTATAAAAAGCCCTTCTACTTCATTTTTTACTATGGTATAGTGCAAGGATCTGAGAATGTTAACAATTCTCACATTCTCTTCATGGAAGCTTTGAATCAATCTTTAGAAGCAAACTTTTTCCACATTTAATTTTTATTGTTGTGGCTTCAGACTCAAATTTTATATGTTGAATTTTAATCTGAGATCACCTTTTAAAAATGGAAAAGAACCTCAAACCTCCCTCTCCCTATAAGATGCACAGTAGCAGTAACAGCAACCATCTTGTGGCTCCCTTGTCATAGGTTACTAAAGGATTGCATGGGAAAATGAAAAGTAAGTCAGAATAACAGTGCAGAGACACTCAAACACAAACATCCTTTGTGAACACTGCGAAACAATCAGATGTGTGGGAGAGGAGTAGGGAGGCAGCCAGTTACCCTGTAACCCCACAGAGGGCTGTTTTCCCATGGGGATCACTCCTTCCACGTATCCTATCAGTCCTGGCAGCAACCCAGCCTTGGGTGCTTGTGTTTGGGAGCTGTGAGAACAGATTGTTCTCAGGAACACGGGCTGTGCACTGGATATACCTTGGCAGGGGATCGGGAGGGGAGGGATGATGGCATTTCCATTTTATTTTATTTTTTTTTTTTGAGATTCAGCCTGGGTGAGACTCTCCCAGTGACCCAGCTAGCACCAGGTATGATTTACACCTTTACCTGGGGCTTGGCATAAAGCTTGTTGCATTTATTTTGCCAGACTGCAGAACAGTGCTCCCAGTGTCAAGGGGTAAAGTTGATGTGCTACAGGGCAAAAATCCGTGTGCCAGTTTTCACCACCTCCAAGGCGGAAAACGCGACCTGGTGGATAAGGCTCCCCTAATTCCACTGCAAGATTAAATCCTAGCAACCCAATTCTCCGCTGACTCGTGGCTTTGAAGCAGCTTTTAAGCAGCATCCAAGCCTCACGCCTAATGCACAGCACAGGCTTTACCACCAACACATTTAGCAGATGAGACAGCTTCTGCACCAAAAGCCTGTGGGAACAGAAGCATCCATACCCAGCCACTGCTCACGTACTCAACAGCACGGAACGCCTGCTAGAGACGCGCCTTTTGGGTAAATCCCGTAACTCGTATCCCTGCGAGCTTTAATCGCGCCTCGGCGGCGGGAGGCAGCGCAAGCCCTCGCTGCGGTGGGGCCGGGCGGGGGCGCGGTGACTCAGTGCCGCCATCCCCGCTGACACATCGCTGCAGTCATTCATCACGCCTCGCCTCGGCCAGCTGCAGCGCACAGTCCTGCCTGCTGCCAGGGGGAAGAGGGAGGCCCGGCCTTGCAGGAAAGCAGCACAACGCAGAAAGGCGGCGGCTGCTGCTCTTGCTGCTGCAGAAGCGCTCGCATCGTCGGCTCATGGGTGTGTTGTCAGCAGCTGATTAGGAATAAAAATGGGTAAAGCAGTACGGAGTGTAAAATAGCTGTCCAAATGGGGATGATTGCTGCAGCAGCAGAACTCTCCGGTGGTGATGCAGCTCTCCCTGCTGATATTTTGATAAGATAAATGGCAGTGTGTTAACGCGCATTTGGCAAAGGGATAATCAACAACAGGGAACTTGAAGCTGCCCTGCAAAGCTGCTGTCTGAGCTTCAGGAATTTCTTTACTCTCTATGCTTTTAAAACCCTTCATTTTCTCTAACCAGCTGAAATTCAACATATATCCTCACTCGATCTTAGCATGATTTTCTACTTAACCTACATATAATCCACATACATTTTGGCATTTCCCGACAGTACTTTAAACTTTCTTTACAGTAACCTTCTACCTAATTAGTTTTGACATTGTAAGATGCTTCAAGTAACCCAAAATACCCTGCATATACTCTCCGCTTTGCAAAGAATATAGACATCTCTATGTGTGCTGAAACCTTTCTTGACCAATAAATCAATTGAGGAAACACTTTTAAGGGGCAAAATGAACTTCACCCAAACCACATTAAAATACCAGCACAAAAGCTTTTTAAAACGGAAGACTAAAGCTTTTCTCTTGAGCTTGTATTTTTAGCATTAACACATATACAGGCCTTGCCCCCATAATCACTAGCCTGAAAAGCCATTTGCATTAATGAGTGCACAAAGGGTTTGAAAATTCCAATTTTAGCAATCCCAATGACATTTTTGCCCATTCAAAAGAATGAAAATTGGCTAGGGAAGTAACCAAACAGGTCTCAGTTTTAATGTTTACATCCATAGTTGATTGCATGTGCTCTCTGCAGCTTTTATGTTTTCTGGTAAGCAAAACCCCAAAGTATTTTAAAATACTTATTTTAAAACTTCTTGCTGCATAAAATGTCTCAGCAGCCAACTATATCCAGTTTTTACCTATAGCATGTGCTAACAAACTGAGGAAAATAGAGCAATACCTGTTACAAGAATGCTTCTGTGGTAGTGTTCCTGAAGTAAAACTTTTGAATTACCAGTAGTTTGATTTAAAAAAAAAAAATAAAAAAATCCTCAACTGTTTCCCTTTGTCACTTTTTAATATATAGTACAAGACTGCACCATAATGTATCATCATCCAGGAGAGCGGTACGAGATAATTCAAACACAACAGTCAAAAATCCGCTCCTGTTTGTCACATAACACCTTGAATACTGATCTTACATAAGATGCTTGCTCCATATCCAAGGGAGGAATAACAGAATTTTTTGTTGCATTTAATTTCTTATTCTCTTTGATAATTTCAGCTGTCCCAGGACACGAAATCCTGATTGCAACTGCAATTTTCTGTGGTGTGACACCATAGAAATTCTTGTTTTAAGGGCCTGAACTGCAGAAGTGAGGTCACTGATTAATGTGAGCTCTTGGATTTGACGCCTTATAATCATAAATAAGAAGACTAAGGAGACCACTCTAATGTTGGCTTCTAATACAATAAAGAGGGCAGGAAGGCAAGCAGGAGAGATTGTACTTGTGGCCTGCAGAGGGAAAGAACACTGAAGTCTTGGAGAAAACCAAAGGACAAAGATGTTTGCATGATTTCAGTGTATGGAGCACTGGGGGCTTTTCCTGAATCTATAATAAAAGGTGACAGCAGCCACAGAAACTGCAGCAGAGACAGGAAGCCCTGTCAAATCAGTTGGGTGAATGCAGTCATTTGCTGAAGCTTTTAGCAGGGATTGAAGCAAAGAAAGGGATGACTTCCATTACAAAACGACAGAGGTGCCTGCTTTTTATTAAAAATCAGGCGTAGCAAAAGCAAATTTTGAAGTGTCACAAAGGCACCACCAATTCCTGCCTCAGTTTCACACAGCCAGTGCAGTAATGGGGAGAAGCGAGTGCTAGTGAAAAAGACAAAGAGACAGCAGCCAGCTTTGCTCCCCTGTCCATTCTGAGAGCAGGAGTGCTGCTGTGCCCGCGCTGGCTCCAGGGAGTGCAGCTCTCTCTCGCAGCCCGGCGCTGCTGCCGGGGGTGCCGGCAGGGGCTGGGAGGATGCAGTGAATAAAGCTGGGGACACCCTGCTGGGGGGGAAACGCAGGGATGGATGGCTGTAGCCAGCAGCCGGATGATGGCCAAGGGGTCTGAGGCTCTTCTGCAAGGCTGGTCACACACACAGAGCCCCGGTGCCACGCCCTGTCCCAGCACCAACACCTTGAGCCCCATCCCACTGCTTTCTAGCCAAGGCTATGATTTTCTTGAAATGTAGACCAGAATTTTGTCTTAAAAACACCCTCTAAAATTTGTTTTCACATGCAGATTTTTCCAAGTACCACTTTTGCAAAAAAGAGACAATTTTTTTCTATAATTTAGGGCATTCCCAATGTCCTGGACATGCTGTCCCATTTTCCCTTCTTACGAAGGGGATTGAGAGGCAGAAAAGCCCTGTTTTTAGGTTAATTTACCAAACATTTTTTTACCGCAAGTTTGGGGGTGAGGGGAGGAAAGCTCAGCTTAAATGAGGAATTTTAAAAGAAAATCACAACACAAGCATATAGGGACTGAACTCTAGCTGGTGGGAAGAGAATGCAAGAGGAATGGAAAGGAAGCACGTTGCTGGAAGCTTCTTGCCCAGGCCCATTGCACCTCCAGCACCAGTGTTTGAGCTCAGAGCAGCGGCTGGAGCTAAGCTGCACTGGCAGGCACGCCTTTCCTCATTAGCTTTCCTTCCCCTGCCGGGAGCTCTACCTGTCACCAAGGTTTAGTTCCAGGTGGCTGTGCTGCTCCAGTAGCCACAAGCCAGGAACTTCTGCCAAAATGAAAGCAGCAGGAATTACATCCGTAATTCAACATGCCATGCTGCGGGCTTCTGACAGGCCTGCAGTGCCACAATTACAAGTTTAAAGGGATTTTTTTGGGCCTTTGGTATCACTTCGAGCAGCTCATGCATTGACCAGGCTGTGTGTGTTCTGTGACTCATTGACAGTGGCATTTAAAAGCCAAGCCAAAACCCCAGAGATTTTGGGCTGACAATCAGGCCACTCCTTACACAACACACAGCGGGAAAGCTGCATCAGTGGAAAATGAAACCATGAAGTGAAAGGGGAATAGTTCTCCAGGAAGCTTCACAGGCTTGGGTCCACAAGGAGTGGCTTTAAAGGAAAATTTGCACAAAAAAAGCATGCAGACTACTTCACAAGAGTACCTTTTCAGAGAAATAAGACAAGGGAAGAGAAGTCACATTCTAATAATTTGTAACAGTTCATTATGCTGTAAATATCAATTCTGATTGCATTGGTGAACCACTGACTGCTGAGCTAAATATCTGGAGTATTTATTTTAATTTTTTAGTCAATTAAAAATAAAACAAATGAGTGTTCCAAAACTCTGGTTCATCAGAAGACTGAAGCAAATATTTACAGTGCATATCATATACAAAGGAGACTGAATTTCATCTTAAGTTTACTGACTTCCTTTGGGATGTTATCATACTTTTTAAAATTAACCTAACTTCTTGCTGGGTATGTGGGTTTGATTTTTTGTTTGGTTGGGTTTTTGTTAGGGGGTTTTGTGGGTTTTATTTCTTTGTTTGGGGTTTTTTGTTTGTTTTTGTGGGTTTTTTTTGTTTTTTTTTCTAAAATCCAATCTGATATTCCAGGCCAACACACATTTTATTCTGAAGATTTATAGGAAATAAAAATATCTCCTTAGACTGATGCAGAGTAATTAGTACCACCTCTCTTTCAGTACTATGACTCGCAATAATATGAAACATAATACCAATAGTGTAAGACACATAAAAATAAGAAACAAAGGGGTGTTGTTCTGACACCATTCTGATCACATAAAATAATATATTTTTTACTTCATACTTATTGAAAAAAAAAAAACAACAAAGAAGAAAGGAAAAAATTAAAACCCTTCCAAATGCATCTTTCCCAGTTACAGGGAGATGAACATCCTGTGTAATGGCTTCAGATCACCTCCATTATAAATTAAAGGTATAATATTCTTTGTGGATCCCAGGGCAAGCTTCAATAAAGATATATATTATGGTAGGATGAATAGCTGTGCTTTCCCAAGCTACCCTTTTTGACCTCCTTTTACTGTTTTGCGGAGTTTTACAGAAATGTAGCATAGAAATGACTCAGAAATGGCTCAATGAAATTGTCACTTACTGTTTGTTGTGCTGAGACTTGTACTTGCTACTGAAGTCCCTGCTGGAGGTTCTTTTGTTGTACCTTGTGTTGTTTGTGATGTAGCATTAGGTGAAGACGACATGGGGCCTAACACAGGAAAGACATTCCATTTATTTCCTTGGTTTTGCAAACACACATAAAATACACCTACTGCCCTGCTTTCAGACTAATTTTAAATTACCAAGAGGATATTTAATTGAAATTCAAGATCAACAGGGACAAAGGCCCCATTGACTGCAGGGAAAGTCACTCCCTGTCCCATAGGTGGGTCATCCCACTGCAGACAAGCCCATGACAGTGCAGTTGGAAAGTGTACCTTGGAGCTTCTTTTAAGCCTCACCAGAAGGAAGCTCCTGCACACACCTGTAAGGTTTCATCAAATACATTCTCTGTAAAACAAATTCCCAAAGCAAGAGGCACTGGTGCCTAATTTCCTTAATGACCACTAGAACATCATTGATTGACTCTGTGATTTTCACTTACTGCTTGTGATGTTTTCATCTGCAGCTTTGACTGCATTTGTCAGCGTGGGCATTGACAGTGTTATTGTTTGCGAAGTTGTTGTATTCACAGATTCCACTGCTGCAAGAAAGGCATTCACATAATTATGGATTTATTTTATTATGCCTAAATAAACATCACATTTCTCTAGCTGTGCTCTCTTTCCAAGGCAGTGAATTTCTGTTTAAAGACTGGCCATCACAGAGTTTTATTATCCACACATTTTGAAAGAGGATTTGAAGTACATATGGTTGGTTTCAGAGGGGAGGTCTGGCCTGTGAACAATCTGCAATTTCCTACTGAAAGGTACAATTATCAGCAATTGTACCTCTCAGCCAGCCCCTAAAGGAGAGGCACATGATCTTTGGGGGTTACACAGAGGTGCTTGGTTTGACTTCCAAGGGAATAAGTGAAGGGAACAGAGCCTGGTGTGGATGGATGGGTTGACTGTGCTGCTGGATCACCCCTCTGAGCAGCACTTTGCTGCATACCTGTTTAGCAGGAGGAGAGATGTAAAATCTCCATAAAGAACTGTGAGTGATACATGGGAACACAACTTAATAGATCACAGGCAAAGAGCTGAAGGGGAACAGATTCAACTAGTCTTTGGACAATTTTTCCCTGTGCTTGACTACCTTGAGACACATTTGAGTCTCTTTCATTGACTAACTTTCCCAGACCTTCTTCCTCTGCACCCAGATTTCTGGAGAAAAAGGAGCATCCAGCAGGCCCTCCTCTTTGGAGTACAGTAAAGCTTAGGACATTGTGGGCGATATGAACAGTATTCTCTAGTAAATTATACTCCTTGAGGTGAACTCAGTGCCCTTTGTAAGGTGACTCCTAGTTCTGTCCTCAAGAGGAGTGAGACTTGAAAGCTAAGAGGAGGGAGGGGAAAGGGCTCCTGCAGGCAGCAGGGATCCCTTCCCAGTCATTGCCAGTATGGAGAGATGGGAGCCAAGGTGTCCAAACATCACTAAGGCACTAGCAAGGTTTAAATAACCTTGTCTTGCTGTGCATAGGTGGCGTGCTGCATGTACCCCTGGAACTTGCTCCAAGGAATGGACTTACCAAAGTACAGCCAGGGAATCTGGACTAAAAACCCCCATAACTGATCAATTTAAGAGTCCAGCTTTCAATTCCATGATCTAATGCAAACAGGAAGTGCTACTGTCAGCTATAGAGGCTCAACTAAATACCTGACAACTACTACCTCTACCTACATACTACCTCTTCTAGCATTTTTAATGGATGGCATATGTGAAAGAATAGGAACAAATCATTACACCCCATATAATTTTCTCTCACATGACTTAAGTACTTTTAAATGCAATATCCACACTGGAACTTTTGAAATATAATTTGTACTTTCTTTCTCTGCTCTCAGTTTTCTAGCTGTTCACCTAGAATAGCAACGCCTCAAGGAATGGGCCTCCTTGTTCTACACTCACAAATTGCTTGAATCTCATACTGGGTTTCTAATGCTTTTCTCACAGTGGCATAAATACCAACACTGCTTTCCCTTCCATGACAAAAAGCTGCAAGAAAAATTTCAGTGGAACATTCAAAGAGTGAATTCACTGTGAGGCGTTGGGTGTTTATCAAGTGTCTTTCAAACAGACATAAACATCAGGGTTTTTGAGAACTGCACAGAAGAACTGCAACACCATTTAAATAGGTCAAAATCTTCTGCTGTAACAAACATAATATATGCATATTTCACCTGGTTGCATCTCATCTACCTCTATTACTAGCACTTCAAGTGTATACTTCATAATGTCAGTGCTTTCAGCTCCACAGCAGACTCATTAGTATCCCCAGTTATCAAAAAATAGAATACTGTGCCCATGTTTTCTTCTCTCTCATGTATAACTTATTATATGCAGCAGTCTTCAATATTAAGACTATTGAAGTAGTTCACATGATTTACATATGGTCAATATTGATTTTTCACACATTTTCATAACAAAGCTGCACAATAAAGAGAACTGAATGTGACAGTCGAAGATGTAGACCAGAATTGCTGACTTTTAACATATTTTCTCTGCTAAATCCTCTTGAACTGGGAGTCTTTGGCAATTTATTAATCTCTGATCTCACTTGAACTACTCCTTGAGAGCATAGGAACTTGGAGAACCTTTTTCACCCCCCCAAAAAAATGTGTAGCCTGCTCAAATTAACTGTCTCCATACTAAGATACTTCAGTCCTTTCTTTGCAACAGAGTTTCATAAGAGATTGGGGTAAATACATTTCTCTGTGATCACCCTGTATGAAATAATTCAGCTGATTTCTCCCTGAAGTTGGAAAAGATGAAAGCTAGAAAGACAACAGGATCTTCAGAACACCAGGTACAGAAAATTGGAAGACTTACCAGCTTTTAATGTTGCTGTAGAAGCAGCTGGCTTGGCAGTAGTTGTTTCATTGCCATCTTCTGAAAGAAAACACAGAAAGAATCACATCACTTTTGCACCATCCAGATCTATTTAGCACTATATAGTCATAATAGCAGAGAGCAGCATGGACCCTCCTGAAAAATCAAGTTCAGAAGCTTATTAGCAGAAACAACCAAATCATATAACTCTGCTACCAACATTTTCAAGCTACAGCCTAAATATCTTCATTTTGCCCTGACAGCTGTAATGGGGAGCATCTGCTGCTGCCTCCCATCTTGGACTGCATGCTCTTTTCTCACTGGTGTCTCCCAGACTAGTTGGGAAGGGGGAAAAGGAAACAATTAAAGTGGTTTCTGCTAGCTCTTCCTCTCCTTGAATATAACCATAGCTGCACTGAGTCTCCAGGGTGGAGGATTAACTAAAGTAACTGGCCACTGGAGTAAGCAGCCCTTCTCCTGCCTTGAAGTAACAAAGTTGTACTAGCTCCTTAGCTAGTACAAGCACTTCAGGAGGGCTTTTCACCCTCAAGGGCATCACCTTGATCCCTAAATGTGAAAGGAAGAGTGAAACATGGCTCAAGAAGCACCACACTGAAAGACTGACTTTCCCCACTGCCCTCAATGCAGTGCTCCAGCTATTCGGGTTTTACTGCTGCAAATGATGCCAGTCTTAAAAGGTCATTAGCAGATGGCTCTTCAATATTACAAAACAAATAAATCACCCAAAAAGGAAACTTCAACAAACAAAAAGCAAAATCATTCCTGTCTCTTCTTACTGTTCTTCAAGGTTATAACATCGTAACTCAAAAAGTGTTCTGGCTTCAAAAAAGATTGCTGCGGTGTTCATATTTTTCTACTAGAAGAAGTTAGGGGGTGTTAAAGGGGGAGAAAAAGCTGCACTGAGTCAGAAAAAGGCATTTCTCAAGCATTTTAAGCTGCTGTGAGACAAATATGGGTACATTTGTGGAGGAACAGATCAACTCTGTAACTGAATGGAAGAGCAAAATGGCACAGGCTAATCCCCATGTGCTGTCAGGTTTGAAGCGTGACATCCTGTCAGGCTGCATTAGCACGCTGTAATACAGACATGCTAAACTGAGTCAGGACAGCATGTCAGTATTCTTGTGTGACTCCATTCATGGTAATATCAGCTGGCATTCTCTCTTTTTTTGGCTACAGGGAAGAACAGTCAGTTTTGTTCCCTTTGCTCAGTGTACTGCGCTCCGATTAACATTTCATGAGCATCACCCGAAGCCTGCAAGAGCTACAGATCTAACCTGGAAAAAAAATAATACATAATACAATTGCAATGGCTCTGCAGAAATGTATTAAGGTCTAGCCAGGTGAGCCCTTACTACTCCCCTCCAAGCAGTCTATCAGCCCTCTTGGCACCTGAATGTCTCTAAGGGGTCTCAGTCTCTTCCCAGTGAGCCCCACTTTCTTGGGCATCTTTTCTAGGTATGCTGTTGCCTCCATAATGCCTTGTCATAGCACATGCTGGCCCAGTTTGACATGGGAATATCCTGTATAAAATTAAATGAGTCGCCCCTGGGCCTGCTGCTGCCCCAGCTCTACTCCCCAGAACACATGGACACAGTCACACCACACACAGACTCATGTACACTGCATTTAAAACACAGGTTTTCTTGCCATTTTGTTACCCATTACAGTCAGAGTAATGCTTCATAGCCCACTCTTGAAATACTTAGAAAACAAATTTTATCCGGAGAGACCTAAAGGCAATCTTGTTTCCCTAAACAGTGAGCATTTTCCCATCTCTTCATTCTCATTATGTGCTGCTGACAAAGCTCCTGTAATCCCCCACACCACAAGGCCACAGCACTAGAACAGAATGTTTTTTCAACAGTGCCTACATTTCATATGGTTTTGTTTTAACATATCTCAGTAGCTGCCGTGTCTGTAACGCTAGCTAAGCGCACTAGCTGGCCAATCACCTCATTCCCAAACTCACTCCTCCCAAAACTCTTCCTCTAACTCAGCATGACTTTGTAGGAAACTCACTGCAATACTTATTCATCCTTTAAAGGTGTTCCATTTAATAACCATGTTGATAGGCCAAGGTTTCCTCAAAACTAAATAAAAAGTGTGAATATTTTTATTATGACTCACTATTTGTTGATTTTATCACAGGTTAGAGATAAACTAAGCTAAATTCAATTAACAGAGTACAATAGAGTTTTATGAATTAATTGTTTTCTTAAAATGGTGAATAATTAAGTATACTTTAAAAATAAGTGGAAAATATAATGCAAAAATGTTTAAAACTTGACAGCATTGCGGGGGGAAAACTGTTTGATTAAAAGATATAATAGTGGTGGCTTATTATGCTCTTATTTGCAATGTTAAATTGTAACTAAGGAGAATCCTATGAGGGATAAAAGCAAGAGATCAAAAAATGATAGAGAAAAAAATAATTTTCACCGTTAGAGACTATTGATAGACAAAGAGAGGGGCAGAAACCTTTATTTATCTGCTCATGTCAGGTTGGCTGCAGCCCCAGATGATGGACAAGTAAGTTACAATTGCCTGTTTTTTAGCAAATTTGAATGCAGTGATCTCTTTGATATGAGAGCACATGGATGTACTCTGATGTAGGAGTACCAAAATCCACTCAGCAATTGTTCTCACACAGAAATCACTGCCATTCGCTGTGTTTGCTGGCAATAAACCCAGCTAAAAGAGCATAAGAGACCCAGGATGCAGCACCCTTGTGTCTGGAGAACACATGTGAAACTAAAAGCCTCTCAACACAACACTGCACTGAGTAAAGGGGGAATGCTGGTGGTGGTAAGATCAAAAAAAAAAAACCCCAACAAAAAACCAAAACATGTTTTAAAGCAGATAGTAAGGCAAGAGGAAATCCAGACTGGGAGAAATGTAACAAGAGAGGGGGAAGAGATGGACAGAAAGATCTAGAGACAGTAAAGCAGCGTCACAGGGAAAAATATGAAGGCACTGAGAGATCCAAGAACAATGGCCACATAGCCACAAGACCAAACTGAAAAGAGAGTCGCTGTTGTGGCTTTTTTCTACCTCAGGTTCACAGAATTTCCATTTATTGTCTTTTCTAAGTTGGATTTAAATGGTATATTTGTTCTAAAATGAAAGCACATTAGTCTTCAGATTTCAAAATGGATGAACTGAAACACTGAACTTTCTTTTAAATTCAGAAGGAGTCCTTGAATTTAGACAGGACTGACCGATGGCCACAGCTGTCCTCAAACTGCAGCTTTTGATGTAGGCTTCAGTCTCTAAGATCTGAGCTTGGAGTTCTCATAACCTTTTCTCTCTCTCTCTCTATTTTTACCTTTACACTGGAAAGATAAACAGATTCTGACCTCATGTTAATTAGGTGCCTGTTATTGCTATAATCAGGACAGCAATAAAAAAAGGAACAATTGCATGTTATTATAGCAGTACTTCTGTTTATACCTTACAGGATACCACAGGTTACAAACCATAAAGTTTCAAACACCACATGAAACAGATAATACAAAACTGAATGCTGAAGCAAAACATTTAAAAAAAATTAATAGATTGTTCAAAGTATATATGGATTATATTCATTAGATGAATTACTGAATTTAAGCATTGTCTGGTTCGGCATCAGTATCTAACTTTGAAAAGAAATTATTTTTATGGAAAAGTCATTATTGCTACAGATAACATGTGGAATGGCCTCTTCGGCATTTCACTTGACATTGTACTGCATAGACAAAATCATATGGCTAAAATCCTTTAATTCAGATAAAGTACTTGGTTCATCTTCAGAAGTATGCTAAGAAGGATGTGGATTCCTGGAGGTGGGCAGTTAGCAGAGAACCATAAAAATCATCAGGAGTCTAGAGAAAAATGACCTCTCAGGAAGGACTGCAAAAATTGCATTTGTTCAGCCTAGAGAGGGAAGGATTAATGGAAGGCACAACAGCAGCAGCCAGTAAGTGAGGAGCTGCAGCCAGGACAAAGGAATAAACTTTTGTCCACTGAAGTTTGAATGAGAGGAATGGACAAGAGAAATTTGGACTATAAACTCTGCAGGTATTTCAGTGCCTGTGTCAAACTGTTAGCATAACAGCCAGAAGCTGATGAGGATGTAATATATTCCCACTCAAAACCTGACCAGTGCTCTATAGGCTGTACCTGGGAACAGTTACCCAAGAGGTGTCCTGAGGAAACCTGCACATGAAAATTCCTTATTTCAAGGTTATAAAGCAGAATCTACAGGTGTTTATGTTTATCTATTATATATTATCATTGAATCACAGAATGTTTTGGGTTGAAAGGGATCCTAAAGATAATCTAGGTCCAGCCTCCCTGCTGTTGGCAGGGACATCTTCCACTAAACCAGTTTGCTCAGAGCACATCCAGTCTGGTCTTGAACACTTCCAGGGCAAAAGCAGCCACAGCTTTCCTGGGCAACCTGTTCCAGTACCTCACCACCCTAACTAATTCTATTCAAATTCTAGTAAAAAGTTTCTTCCTAATATCTAATCTAAACCTACTCTCTTTCAGGATGTTAAATTACAGGTTTTTGTGTGACCCTAGACCTTTGCGACTGCAGACAAGTGATGGACAAGTCAAAGTTATTTTTTTGATTTCTGTTTCTCCACAGCATCAGGAATAAATAGTTATCTCTTTCTAGCCCATGATAATTCTGCCAGCCCTCGTGACCATGAAAGAGCCTCCTGTAACCACTGTTCCAGCAGTACCCATATAAAGACTGTATAGTTTGTAAAAAAAAAAATAAAACTGTCCTTTTTTGAGAAATGGATAGCTGTCCTTGTAAGCAAATCTGGTACTGATCTAGGAACTCAGAGTTCCCAAGAAATAGCTGCTGCCTGACAATGTACACAACTTGTTTACTCTTACCTGGAGCTCTGTCATCTGTTACATTTTCTCTTTCATTTAATGCTGCTTCATCTCTACATTGTCTTCTATGATCTTTCCCCAGGCCCAGTACAGTCCTTGCACTTCTCCTATTTCTGTTTTCACTGCTCATTTGTCTTTCTTTCCAGTGC